TATGTTCTTATTTTTATTACTTTGGTTCGATGTCCTTTAGTAAATGATTATAAACATTTTGTGACAATCAGTCGTCTTCAGAATATGATTTTTCTAATAATTTTATTGTTTATTTTGCTGTTTATTCCTAAGATACTTAAGTCTATGATTATTGAAATGATAGAGAGAAAATTATAAATTATTTATGATTGCAAAGAATAAAACTGTTGGGGGACGTATGAGTGATTTGAATTTCAAAGCTGTAATAAAACTAATAATAATCATACGTCTGATGACCATATTGTCGAAAATACTATTGTTTGCAAAATATTGTTACTTTTTAAATTTTTTACTATTTGAAATTGTTGTTTTCCTAATAGAACAAAAAGTCTTACTTTTTTAGAAAATTTAAAAAAGTACTAAAAATACTACTTTTTAAAAATGTAATTTTAATGACGAAATTTGCAAATTTCTTGTAAATTTAGTAAAAATGTAATGAAAATTGTGAAAAGTGAACAAAAGTACTATTTTTTGCAAAATTTAAAAAAGTAGTAAAAATACTACTTTTTGTAAAAGTTATACTTTTGTAATTTTTACTATTTTCATTTGATTCCTGTTAAAAAACTACTATTTGAAATTGTTGTTTTCCTAATAGAACAAAAAGTCTTACTTTTTTAGAAAATTTAAAAAAGTACTAAAAATACTACTTTTTAAAAATGTAATTTTAATGACGAAATTTGCAAATTTCTTGTAAATTTAGTAAAAATGTAATGAAAATTGTGAAAAGTGAACAAAAGTACTATTTTTTGCAAAATTTAAAAAAGTAGTAAAAATACTACTTTTTGTAAAAGTTATACTTTTGTAATTTTTACTATTTTCATTTGATTCCTGTTAAAAAACTACTATTTGAAATTGTTGTTTTCCTAATAGAACAAAAAGTCTTACTTTTTTAGAAAATTTAAAAAAGTACTAAAAATACTACTTTTTAAAAATGTAATTTTAATGACGAAATTTGCAAATTTCTTGTAAATTTAGTAAAAATGTAATGAAAATTGTGAAAAGTGAACAAAAGTACTATTTTTTGCAAAATTTAAAAAAGTAGTAAAAATACTACTTTTTGTAAAAGTTATACTTTTGTAATTTTTACTATTTTCATTTGATTCCTGTTAAAAAACTACTATTTGAAATTGTTGTTTTCCTAATAGAACAAAAAGTCTTACTTTTTTAGAAAATTTAAAAAAGTACTAAAAATACTACTTTTTAAAAATTTAATTTTAATGACGAAATTTGCAAATTTCTTGTAAATTTAGTAAAAATGTAATGAAAATTGTGAAAAGTGAACAAAAGTACTATTTTTTGCAAAATTTAAAAAAGTAGTAAAAATACTACTTTTTCTAAAAATTATATTTTTGTAATTTTTACTATTTTCAATTGATTCCTGTTAAAAAACTAATAAAAATAACACTTTCTAGTCATATACAAAAAAGTACCAAATATACTACTTTTTTCAATTTCAGTTTTTTGGACTATTTTTAAAAATTTGCTGTTTTATTTCGTTTAAAAAATAGTGATAACATTTGAAAATATTTAAAAAATACAAATTTTAGCTATTTTAAAAAAAGTACCGAAAAAACTACTTTTTTAAAATGGTGTTTTTATGTTGAATTTTTATCATTTTGAATTCAATTTCATTATAAATGTAAAGAAAGTTGTGGAAAAAGCTCAAATAATACTAAATTTTAAACATATCAAAAAAGTACTAAATATGTATACTACTTTTTTCAATTTCAGTTTTTTAGACTATTTTCCAAAAATATTTCTTGGTTTCGTTTAAAATATAATGAAAAATCCTTAACATTTTTTAAAAAATACATAAAAGCAGTTTAAAAAAAGTACCAAAAATAAGTACTTTTTGACAAAATTAAAAAAGTAGTAAAAATACTACTTTTTTCAAATGAAATATTTTAAGCAGAATTTATCAATTTAAAGTAAATTACTTGCAAAAAAAAAAAAGTATTTTGCGTACGCTTTTTGTAACAAAAAAGTACTTTTTTGAGAAAATACAAAAAGTACCAAAAATACTACTTTTTTAAAAATGGATATTTTAAGCAGAATTTCTCAATTTTAGTTAAATTAGTTTTAAAAAGAGTATTTTTGGTAATAAAATGTACATTTTGTAAAAAGGTACTTTTTTAAAAAAGTACTTTCTAGAAAATAGTCTAAATTTCTTTTAAAGTAAGTTAGATAACCTGTTTTCTTAAGCCACCTCCCTTAAACCTATTCTTAACCACACATTTATCTTTAATTTGTTTCCCCCAACATTAACATTAATATTTTTCTATAAGAAAACCACAAACATTCTCTTTCAGTGTATTTACGCATAAAAAAAGCCCAACCAATATGTTTCCTTTCTTGTGGCATTTTGTATGTCCTTTTTCTTTGCTTTTGTTGTTCTATGAACATTCATTTTTTCTTGCTAACAAAATCATTGTTGGATGACATTGTTAATTGAGGGTGTCAGGGCAAAGTGTACAAAACGTGAAACACATACAAACACCAACACTAACATACTTTTACACTTAAGAATAGCGCAGGAGGTCATGACATAGAAATGTGTATTATTAAGGTTTTTTCAGATTTTTTTGCTTATTGTACTTTAGGGGCGACTTAAAGTCCTTTGGCGTGGCTTCTCAGCAACAGGTTCTATTTTTTGCTTTTGTTTATTATTGTTTTTTTTTTTTTTGGTATTTTAATCTAAAAGGACCTCTTTATAGAAAACAACAACTCACTACTAGGCAGATTTAAGATTCAATTTGTGTGTAAATATATACAAAGAAAAAATATAAATATTTTTTAACTGAAAAGTTGTTGACAGCACCACCATACACTATATCCAAGTCTAAGGCGAAATGTTTATACTGTCATAAGAAATTTGATACATATTCCTTCTAAGGATACCCTTACTACACACACACACACACACACGCACACATTTTCTTTGTCAATATTTATTTGGCCTCATTTAAGATGATAGAATTATAAGTAGACCAAGAAGAAGACAATATGATCTCATTTTATTCTACTCAAAGTGGTTATGGAGAAAATGAGGTTTTAGATTAATAATAGGAAATTTTAATTGACTATAAAAGTGAACAACATATGGCAGGGATAATAAATAAATAATAAAGACTGAGATTTATTTCAAATTTAAAATGATTAAAAAATGCTTGGGTGCAGTTCAAACAGTTGTAGTGTTAAGTTCTGTTCTAGTTCTGTTCTAGTTCTGTTCTAGCTCTGTTCTAATTCTGTTCTAGTTCTGTTCTAGTTCTGTTCTAGTTCTGTTTTAGTTCTTTTCTAGTTCTGTTCTAGTTCTGTTCTAGTTCTGTTCTAGTTCTGTTCTAGTTCTGTTCTAGTTCTGTTCTAGTTCTGTTCTAGTTCTGTTCTAGTTCTGTTCTAGTTCTGTTCTAGTTCTGTTCTAGTTCTGTTCTAGTTCTGTTTTAGTTCTGTTTTAGTTCTTTTCTAGTTCTGATCTAGTTCTGTTCTAGTTCTGTTCTAGTTCTGTTCTAGTTCTATTCTAGTTCTGTTCTAGTTCTGTTCTAGTTCAGTTCTGTTCTGTTCTATTTCAGTTCTGTTCTAGTTCAGTTATGTTCTAGTTCAGTTCTGTTCTAGTTCAGTTCTGTTCTAGTTCAGTTCAGTTCTGTTCTAGTTCAGTTCTGTTCTAGTTCAGTTCTGTTCTAGTTCAGTTCTGTTCTAGTTCTGTTCTAGTTCAGTTCTAGTTCTGTTATAGTTCAGTTCTGTTCTAGTTCTGTTCTAGTTCTGTTCTAGTTCTGTACTAGTTCTGTTCTAGTTCTGTTCTAGTTCTGTTCTAGTTTTGTTGTAGTTCTGTTCTAGTTCTGTTCTAGTTCTGTTCTAGTTCTGTTCTAGTTCTGTTTTAGTACTGTTCTAGTTCTGTTCTAGTTCTGTTCTAGTTCTGTTCTAGTTCTGTTCTAGTTCTGTTCTAGTTCTGTTCTAGTTCTGTTCTAGTTCTGTTCTAGTTCTGTTCTAGTTCTGTTCTAGTTTTGTTCTAGTTCTGTTCTAGTTCTGTTCTAGTTCTGTTCTAGTTTTGTTCTAGTTTTGTTCTAGTTCTGTTCTAGTTCTGTTCTAGTTCTGTTCTAGTTCTGTTCTAGTTCTGTTCTAGTTCTGTTCTAGTTTTGTTCTAGTTCTGTTCTAGTTTTGTTCTAGTTTTGTTCTAGTTCTGTTCTAGTTTGTTCTAGTTCTGTTCTAGTTCTGTTCTAGTTCTGTTCTAGTTCTGTTCTAGTTCTGTTCTAGTTCTGTTCTCTGTTCTAGTTCTGTTCTAGTTCTGTTCTAGTTCTGTTCTAGTTCTGTTCTAGTTTTGTTCTAGTTCTATTCTAGTTCTGTTCTAGTTCTGCTCTAGTTCCTTTCTAGTTCAGTTCTAGTTCTGTTCTAGTTCTGTTCTAGTTTTGTTCTAGTTCTGTTCTAGTTATGTTCTAGTTCTAGTTCTATTCTAGTTCTGTTCTAGTTTTGTTCTAGTTATGTTCTATTCTAGTTCTGTTCTATTTCTGTACTAGTTCAATTTATTCAAAACACATTTGCTTAAATTTTCTAACAACAACACAAAAAACATCAAAAGTTAAACACAAAACTTGCTTTTAACAATTATGAGTTTTTATCATGCCTTAACGCCTACAAACAAAAGTATCAACTTAGTCTGCTAAACCACCTTGTAACCATTTGCCTGGTCAGGCCAAATGACCAACAGAAATCAAACCAACCAGACCAAACCATTTAAAGGGATAGAGAAAAACTTTTATGGCCAGCCAGCCTATTAAAACTTTTTCTTTATTATTTATTTCATTTTGATGTTTTTCAATTTAACAACAAGAACAATGAAAAAACTTGTACGAAACGTTGCAAGAATCGTAAATAAGAGATTTTTTTTTAAATAACACTTTAGTTTTATATTAAATTTTGGTTTTGTTCATAATTATTAAACATGTTTTACTTACCTTTTTTCATTTTAGCGGAGGACATTCACTTAGATGACTTGTATACGAGATATCGACAACGTTTGCGTAAATCATTGTTCCGCTCTGGTCTACTAATATCTCTGGCAGCATGTGTAGTTTCCATTATTATAGGTGTCATTTACCAACAGGTGAGTAAAGCTCTTTTCCAAACAAAAGGACAATAGTGACTTAACAAGAACTTTTAAACAAGTTTTTATTATCCTAAAAACAATAGAAAGAGTAGAAGCGTTGAAAAGTGTTAAAGAATAATCGATTATTTGAGAAAGAATACTTAATAGGAATTAATAACGAACTTAAATCTGAAAAATATTAAATTAAATTAAAAATGCATAAATTCCCATATTAAACATATCCATCTGATTATCTAACATTTTCCCCTATCAAAACCACTGACTTTTAATTCCCTAACGAAAAATAGCAAATTATTACTTTCCCATACACTAACTTTGATGTCTAACCCCCTTGCTTTGCCCTTGTACTGTATACTCCTCCTATAAATATGCAATTCATTTTGTCACTCCTTGTACTAATGTCAGTTTGTTGTTTATTCTTCTCTTCTTCTCAATTATAGCAATTATTACAAACACTATTACTAGCATTGGCTACATTAATATCAGCTAGTATACTCACAGCCCTACAGTTTCCAGCTGTATTGAATTCACCGGTGGCTGCTTTGGCATTTGCCATTGTAACAACATTTTCATTGGGAACGATAGCAGCAATTACGGGTGAAGAATTGGCGCCATTACCATTATTTGCTGTATTCCTGGTAAGTATATGTTTGTTGTATGTGTATACAGACATCCACATACTCGCTCTCTAAAGGAAAACACTCATACATAAAGCACAGGTTATTAATGGACGTCTATTAGCAAAAGGACAGTGGTCAACTAGAAAAGAATTAGAACAGAACTTGAAAAGAATTAGAACAGAACTAAAAAAGAACTAGAATAGAACTAGAACAGAACTGGAACTGAACTAGACCTAAACTTGAACTAAAGTAGAACTAAACTAGAACTGAACTAGAACTGAACTAGAACTGAACTAGAACTGAACTAGAACTGAACTAGAACTGAACTAGAACTGAACTAGAACTGAACTAGAACTGAACTAGAACTGAACTAGAACTGAACTAGAGCTGAACTAGAACTGAACTAGAACTGAACTAGAACTAGAACTGAACTAGAACTGAACTAGAACTGAACTAGAACTGAACTAGAAGTGAACTAGAACTGAACTAGAACTGAACTAGAACTGAACTAGAACTGAACTAGAACTGAACTAGAACTGAACTAGAACTGAACTAGAACTGAACTAGAACTGAACTAGAACTAAACTAGAACTGAACTAGAACTGAACTAGAACTGAACTAGAACTGAACTAGAACTGAACTAGAACTGAACTAGAACTGAACTAGAACTGAACTAGAACTGAACTAGAACTGAACTAGAACTGAACTAGAACTGAACTAGAACTGAACTATAACTGAACTAGAACTGAACTAGAACTGAACTAGAACTGAACTAGAACTGAACTAGAACTGAACTTGAACTAAACTAGAACTGAACTAGAACTGAACTAGAACTGAACTAGAACTGAACTAGAACTGAACTAGAACTGAACTAGAACTGAACTAGAACTGAACTAGAACTGAACTAGAACTGAACTAGAACTGAACTAGAACTGAACTAGAACTGAACTAGAACTGAACTAGAACTGAACTAGAACTGAACTAGAACTGAACTAGAACTGAACTAGAACTGAACTAGAACTGAACTAGAACTGAACTACTGAACTGAACTGATAGAACTGAACTAGAACTGAACTAGACTGAACTAGACGACTAGAACTGAACTAGAACATGAACTAGAACTGAACTAGAACTGAACTAGAACTGAACTAGAACTGAACTAGAAACTGAACTAGAACTGAACTAGAACTGAACTAGAACTAGAACTGAACTAGAAAGAACTGAACTAGAACCTGAACTAGAACTGAACTAGAACTGAACTAGAACTGAACTAGAACTGAACTAGAACTGAACTAGAACTACTAGAACTGAACTAGAACTGAACTAGATGACTAGAACTGAACTGAACTGAAACTAGAACTGAACTAGAACTGAACTAGAACTGAACTAGAACTGAACTAGAACTGAACTAGAACTGACTAGAACTGAACTAGAACTGAACTAGAACTGAACTAGAACTGAACTAGACTGAACTAGAACTAGAGACTAGAACTGAACTAGAACTGAACTAGAACTGAACTAGAACTGAACTAGAACTGAACTAGAACTGAACTAGAACTGAACTAGAACTGAACTAGAACTGAACTGAACTAGAACTGAACTAGAACTGAACTAGAACTGAACTAGAACTGAACTAGAACTGAACTAGAACTGAACTAGAACTGAACTAGAACTGAACTAGAACTGAACTAGAACTGAACTAGAACTGAACTAGAACTGAACTAGAACTGAACTAGAACTGAACTAGAACTGAACTAGAACTGAACTAGAACTGAACAAGAACTGAACTAGAACTGAACTAGAACTGAACTAGATCTGAACTAGAACTGAACTAGAACTGAACTAGAACTGAATTAGAACTGAACTAGAACTGAACTAGAGCTGAACTAGAACTGAACTAGAACTGAACTAGAACTGAACTAGAACTGAACTAGAACTGAACTAGAACTGAACTAGAACTGAACTAGAACTGAACTAGAACTAGAACAGGACTACAACATAACTAGAACTAAACTAGAACTGAGCTAGAACTGAACTAAAACAGAACTAGAACTGAACAGGTCTCCCACTGTCTTATGCTACAAATCAAATCACACTTAGACAAACTACAATTTTGCTTAAATGTAATAGTGTATGTGTGTATATTGTTGTTACTAAACAAACGGAAGTATGTACACAGGATATGAAGGGATACAGCTAACATATATTTACGTAATATGTATGTATGTGTAAATGTCTGTCTATATTTATGTGTTGTAAAGTGTTTTGGAATATAAATTTATTTATATATACTAGTCTATGGTTACCAAATGACGGTATGTGTATGCACTTCCTGAACCACTTAATACTCTAGTTGAAGTGTTGTTCCATGTATTTCGTATTTAAGTAGCCAATATTTTTGTTCAAAATATTGGCTTTTAAAGTTAATGAGATTCTTGATGTGTTTGGTGTGTTAATGTTGATGGTTAGTTTTGGCTTTTTGTTGTTGTGGTTCAGCTGTTATTTGAGGGATAATTTCCCAAGATTTTTAATGTAATTTATTTTATTTAGCAGTAAAAAGAGCAGTTTGTTTTAGCTTATTTACATTTTCCATTAGCAAACACTTATGTAAAAAGTACATTTCAAGGTTTTGAGGAAAAATACTTAATGGTTGCTATTTTAATAGTTGAAGTAAAATAGTAGTAGTAATGAAGCTAAAAAAAATATTGATTTTGTTTTGAAAATATTCTCTATTAAATCTATAATTAAAATCTAAACATAATGAAACAACAAAAAACAGTTTTAGCCTTTGTAGAACAGTAATTGAATTTTGCCTTAAATAGCAACAGCTGAATATTGAAAATGTCCTGTAAATACATTCATAAATATATAATTTTTTGAGTGTAACCTAGTATGAGAGTATGTGTGTTAAACACAATTTAATTATTTAACTTTGTTTAACAATTTAAATAAAAAAAATGTTTTATTTTTCTCTTCCCCCGTCCTACAACAACTCTAGGGTATTCACACAATGTTGCCCATATCATGGCCAGTGTCAGTGGTTTTAGCTCTATTCATGACAGCCATACATATTGTCTATCGTATAGGCGAAAGTCCTGACTATGCACCTAATTTACCTGTGGTAAGTACAAACAAATACAACAACTACATGAATATATTTAAATACTAATACTAACGACACCACTACAAGTCCAAGGACCTGACTGCACATTGTCGATTCACATTTGTTTGTCATTTAAGTTTTTGTTTTAATTGGACTTTATTTTAAATAAAACATTTGCAAATACTTTTCAGTCATGTATGAAAAGAAAAGTATATAGTAAAATAGAGCGAGAGAGAAAGAGGAAAAGGAAGTGTTATAAAAAACAATTTGAAAAGTCATTATATAAAATGTCTATGTGAATACTAAATAAAGTAAATACTACAAATGTTTTGTTAGTCCTAGAAAATATTTTTTAACGACTACCAAACAAAAACATTAAGTGCAAATACCTAGAAATGCATTTAAATTGGTTTTGTATGTCAGTGCAGAAAACGAAAATTCTATTTAAAATGCATGACAAAGGTCAATGTCAAAAGAAAAATAAAATAAATAAAATTAAGGATAAACGATTACGGTAGATAATATGGAGAAAGCAAACTTGAAAGGAACGGAACTACAATAGAACTAGAACAGTAATGGAACAGAACTAGCACACAAGCAGAACAGAACCAGAACAGAGCTTGAACTAGAACTTGAACTAGAACAGAACTAGAACTGAACTAGAACAAAAACAGAACTAGAACAGAACTATAACAGAACTACAACAGAACTAGAACAGAACTAGAACAGAACTAGAGCAGAACTAGAACAGAACTAGAACAGAACTAGAACAGAACTAGAACAGAACTAGAACAGAACTAGAACAGAACTAGAACAGAACTAGAACAGAACTAGAACAGAACTAGAACAGAACTAGAACAGAACTAGAACAGAACTAGAACAGAACTAGAACAGAACTAGAACAGAACTAGAACAGAACTAGAACAGAACTAGAACAGAACTAGAACAGAACTAGAATAGAACTAGAACAGAACTAGAACAGAACTAGAACAGAAGTAGAACAGAACTACAACAGAACTACAATAGAACTAGAACAGAACTAGAACAGAACTAGAACAGAACTAGAACAGAACTAGAACAGAACTAGAATAGAACTAGAACAGAACTAGAACAGAACTAGAACAGAACTAGAACAGAACTAGAACAGAACTAGAAACTAGAAAAGAACTAGAACAGAACAGAACTAGAACAGAACTAGAACAGAACAGAACTAGAACAGAACTAGAACAGAACAGAACAGAACTAGAACAGAACTAGAACAGAACTAGAACAGGACTAGAACAGAACTAGAACAGAACTAGAACAGGACTAGATCAGAACTAGATCAGAACTAGAACAGAACTAGAACAGAACTAGAACAGAACTAGAACAGAACTAGAACAGAACTAGATCAGAACTAGAATAGATCTAGAACAGAACTAGAACAGAACTAGAACAGAACTAGAACAGAACTAGAACAGAACTAGAACTAGACAGAACTAGAACAGAACTAGAACAGAACTAGAACAGAACTAGAACAGAACTAGAACAGAACTAGAACAGAACTAGAACAGAACTAGAACAGAACTAGAACAGAACTAGAACAGAACTAGAACAGAACTAGAACAGACTAGAACAGAACTAGAACAGAACTAGAACAGAACTAGAACAGAACTAGAACAGAACTAGAACAGAACTAGAACAGAACTAGAACAGAACTAGAACAGAACTAGAAACAGAACTAGAACAGAACTAGACAGAACAGAACTAGAACAGAACTAGAACAGAACTAGAACAGAACTAGAACAGAACTAGAAAAGAACTAGAACAGAACTAGAACAGAACTAGAACAGAACTAGAACAGAACTGGAACAGAACTAGAACAGAACTAGAACAGAACTAGAACAGAACTAGAACAGAACTAGAACAGAACTAGAACAGAACTAAAACTGAACTTGTACAGAACTAGAATTGAACTAGAAATAGAACAGTACTAGAACTGTTGTTGTTGGTTGTTGATTTTTTATTTTTTTTTTAGCTCATATTGTACAACTATTTATTATTAATATTTTTTGTTAGAAAAAAATCAAACAAAACCCACCTGTTTATCAAGGCATAAAAATTCAAATAAACTATTTTTTTTTTAATAAACCATTTAACAGGGTCATTCATTGTTACTGGTTGGTTGATTTTAAATTTCTAAAGGATTATTTATAATTAACATAAAAATCTGTTGAATATTAATCAAAATGAATTGAATGGTAAATACTCTTACATACATATGTGGCAAATAGGGAAAAATTCAAGGTTTTGGAATATTAATCAAGGGATGGAAGAGGTTTTTGAAAAGAGATTAACAAACATTGTTTATGGAAATTAATAAGTAATTAGAGTTTAAATTTAAAACTCTACATTATTAATTTTAGTTCTTAAATTCTGTTGCAGGATTTGCCACAAATTGGTTTTGTTAGAAATTTCATAAAATTTTTTGTAATTGAACTTGATTAACAGTTGACAGTTTTTTTTAAAAATTAAACCAATTTTTTTAGGTAAGTCTAGGCTGATGAAGAATTTGTTAAATAAATGCTAGAAAATTTTTAAATTTCTTATATTGTTCTGTTTTAGATTTAACAAAAAATTACTCAAATGTATATCTCCGGAACAATTTCTTAATCATTTTTGTAAATGTTGCCAAATTTTTGTTATTTTCTCTTTAGCTATTTGGCGAAATTATAATGTTGGCTAGTGCATCCGTATCCGGTTTATATTATCGCATAATGTCAGATGCTGCCCACACTCGTACGGTAGATGGTACACGCACTGGCATCGAGCAACGTGTAAAATTGGAATGTGAACGTGAACAACAGGAACAATTATTGCTAAGTGTAATACCGGCTTACATTGCAGCTGAGGTCAGTATAACTAATGTGTTTATTAAAAAAAAAAAACCAAAACTACAAAAAGGAAAACATTGTCAAGTGACACTTGCCACTAGCAGCCACAACAGCAGCAAAAAATCCCATCCATTCTTGTTTATTATTTCAATTTATCCATGTTTTTGTATGTTCAAGTACTATATGCCTGGGATTATTGATATTGTTGCTGTTAAATGTTCCTATTTTTAATCTGTTTGTTGTTACTACCCTCCTACAACTGTTTCGAATATTTTCTTTTTAGGTTAAACGTAGCATAATGTTAAAAATGGCTGATGCTTGCCAACGGGCTGGTGGTCAAACAAATTCATCGGCCACACGTTTCCATGAATTGCATGTCCAAAGGCATAACAATGTTTCTATTTTATATGCAGATATTGTCAATTTTACTCCGTTGTCTGAGCAACTGACCGCCAGCGATTTGGTTAAGACTTTGAATGACCTTTTTGGGCGTTTTGATCAAATTGCACAGGTGAGTTATTAAATGGGAAATTTTCAAACTAAATTGCTATTCACATCCTAGAAGTTCTAGTTCAGTTCTAGTTCAGTTCTAGTTCAGTTCTAGTTCAGTTCTAGTTCAGTTCTAGTTCAGTTCTAGTTCAGTTCTAGTTCAGTTCTAGTTCAGTTCTAGTTCAGTTCTAGTTCAGTTCTAGTTCAGTTCTAGTTCAGTTCTAGTTCAGTTCTAGTTCAGTTCTAGTTCAGTTCTAGTTCAGTTCTAGTTCAGTTCTAGTTCAGTTCTAGTTCAGTTCAAGTTCAGTTCTAGTTCAGTTCTAGTTCAGTTCTAGTTCAGTTCTAGTTCAGTTCTAGTTCAGTTCTAGTTCAGTTCTAGTTCAGTTCTAGTTCAGTTCTAGTTCAGTTCTAGTTCAGTTCTAGTTCAGTTCTAGTTCAGTTCTAGTTCAGTTCTAGTTCAGTTCTAGTTCAGTTCTAGTTCAGTTCTAGTTCAGTTCTAGTTCAGTTCTAGTTCAGTTCTAGTTCAGTTCTAGTTCAGTTCTAGTTCAGTTCTAGTTCAGTTCTAGTTCAGTTCTAGTTCAGTTCTAGTTCAGTTCTAGTTCAGTTCTAGTTCAGTTCTAGTTCAGTTCTAGTTCAGTTCTAGTTCAGTTCTAGTTCAGTTCTAGTTCAGTTCTAGTTCAGTTCTAGTTCAGTTCTAGTTCAGTTCTAGTTCAGTTCTAGTTCAGTTCTAGTTCAGTTCTAGTTCAGTTCTAGTTCAGTTCTAGTTCAGTTCTAGTTCAGTTCTAGTTCAGTTCTAGTTCAGTTCTAGTTCAGTTCTAGTTCAGTTCTAGTTCAGTTTTAGTTCAGTTTTAGTTCAGTTTTAGTTCAGTTCTAAATCAGTTCTAGTTCAGTTCTAGTTCAGTTTTAGTTCAGTTCTAGTTCAGTTCTAGTTCAGTTCTAGTTCAGTTCTAGTTCAGTTCTAGTTCAGTTCTAGTTCAGTTCTAGTTCAGTTCTAGTTCAGTTCTAGTTCAGTTCTAGTTCAGTTCTAGTTCAGTTCTAGTTCAGTTCTAGTTCTGTTCTATTCTAGTTCTGTTCTATTCTAGTTCTGTTCTATTCTAGTTCTGTTCTATTCTAGATCTGTTCTATTCTAGTTCTGTTCTAGTTCTGTTCTAGTTCTGTTCTAGTTCCGTTCTAGTTCTGTTCTAGTTCTGTTCTAGTTCTGTTCTAGTTCTGTTCTAGTTCTGTTCTAGTTCTGTTCTAGTTCTGTTCTAGTTCTGTTCTAGTTCTGTTCTAGTTCTGTTCTAGTTCTGTTCTAGTTCTGTTCTAGTTCTGTTCTAGTTCTGTTCTAGTTCTGTTCTAGTTCTGTTCTAGTTCTGTTCTAGTTCTGTTCTAGTTCTGTTCTAGTTCTGTTCTAGTTCTGTTCTAGTTCTGTTCTAGTTCTGTTCTAGTTGTGTTCTAGTTGTGTTCTAGTTCTGTTCTAGTTCTGTTCTAGTTCTGTTCTAGTTCTGTTCTAGTTCTGTTCTAGTTCTGTTCTAGTTCTGTTCTAGTTCTGTTCTAGTTCTGTTCTAGTTCTGTTCTAGTTCTGTTCTAGTTCTGTTCTAGTTCTGTTCTAGTTCTGTTCTAGTTGTGTTCTAGTTGTGTTCTAGTTGTTCTATTCTAGTTCTGTTCTAGTTCTGTTCTAGTTCTGTTCTAGTTCTGTTCTAGTTCTGTTCTAGTTCTGTTCTAGTTCTGTTCTAGTTCTGTTCTAGTTCTGTTCTAGTTCTGTTCTAGTTCTGTTCTAGTTCTATTCTAGTTCTGTTCTAGTTCTGTTCTAGTTCTGTTCTAGTTCTGTTCTAGTTCTGTTCTAGTTCTGTTCTAGTTCTGTTCTAGTTCTGTTCTAGTTCTGTTCTAGTTCTGTTCTAGTTCTGTTCTAGTTCTGTTCTAGTTCTGTTCTAGTTCTGTTTTAGTTCTGTTCTAGTTCTGTTCTAGTTCTGTTCTAGTTCTGTTCTAGTTCTGTTCTAGTTACGTTCTAGTTATGTTCTAGTTCTGTTCTAGTTCTGTTCAGTTCTAATTCTGTTCTAGTTCAAGTCAACTTTAGTTCCTTCTCCATTAGAACTTTGTTTTAACAATTTCATTCTTCTTTAAAGGAAAATCATTGTTTGCGTATTAAAATTCTGGGTGACTGTTATTACTGTGTATCTGGACTGCCAATCTCTAGGCCACAGCACGCCTCAAATTGTGTCAATATGGGTTTACAAATGATTGATGCCATCAAGTAAGTGAAATTTATACTTAAGTCTCGCAAAATACTAAAATACAGGTGTTTTGGATAAAGGATATTGATGTGTGCTAGTGTAAATTTATATTAGAAATGTGTGTGTGCGTGCTCCTAAAAGTATACATTATTTAAAATAATGTAAACACAATATGTATGTTTGTACATTTTACCAGGATTTACACAAACGTAAACATTTATTTAGACAAGATTCTGTTACGACTGACAATGATTGAAATTAAAGACGTTTGATTAAAACCATTACAATGACAACATGATAAACACCAACAGCAGCAGCAACAAGAATAAAGTGTCAACAGGACACTTGTTAAAACTTGTTTACAGGTGTTACTGTATTTCAATACAAACTAAACAAATCTTATGTTGCAAAAATACGATAGCAAGACAAAGATTTAATTTGACTCTTTACAGTGTTTTGTCTTAATAAAAGTTGTCTTTTAAGGAGTTGGCATTTTGTTACTAATTAAACTGTCAATTAACTAACAGGCTTTTATTTAGACTTTACACTGTGTTTTCTAAATGTCTTATGGTTAAGACCTTTAAACTTTACAAAACCACTTCCTTAATTATGAAACTAAGCAAATATTGAAGCGAACGTGTTTACTTTGAAAAGCTTGACATTAAAAGGATAATGAAAAGTTTAAGGATATTGTGTGTGTTTTAAAGGGGATTTAAAAAGTGTATCAATAGCAGAGTTTTGCCTTTAGCTTTTACATTTGTAATAGAAAATACTGTTGAGCTTCTATGTGGCTACAAAGCTAAAAGTATATTGTTTTAGGATTTTGTTTGTTGGGGATTAAGGTTTAAAGGATATTTTAGCAAAAAAGAGTTTATTTAAAAGCCAAGAAGGGAAGTGGTTTTAAGCAGATTTGAAACAAAGTAACCATAATAATAAAAAAGGGTTTAAGATAAAAACAAAATTAACCTATAGATTTGAGAATAAACTGTTTAAGTTCGGGTTAAGTTCTAGTTCAGTTCAAAATGAATTCCTGATATGTTATAATTGAGTTCTTTTTCAGTTTTAGTTTAGCTCAATTCAGTTCTAGTTCGTTTCTAGTTCAGTTCTAGCACAGTTTTAGTTCAGTTCTAGTTCAGTTCTAGTTCAGTTCTAGTTCAGTTCTAGTTCAGTTCTAGTTCAGTTCTAGTTCAGTTCTAGTTCAGTTCTAGTTCAGTTCTAGTTCAGTTCTAGTTCAGTTCTAGTTCAGTTCTAGTTCAGTTCTAATTCAGTTCTAGTTCAGTTCTGGTTCAGTTCTAGTTCAGTTCTAGTTCAGTTCTAATTCAGTTCTAGTTCAGTTCTAGTTCAGTTCTAGTTCAGTTCTAGTTCCGTTCTAGTTCAGTTCTAGTTCAGTTCTAGTTCAGTTCTAGTTCTGTTCCAGTTCTGTTCTACTGTTCTAGTTCTGTTCTAGTTCTGTTCTAGTTCTGTTCTAGTTCTGTTCTAGTTCTGTTCTAGTTCTGTTCTAGTTCTGTTCTAGTTCTGTTCTAGTTCTGTTCTAGTTCTGTTCTAGTTCTGTTCTAGTTCTGTTCTAGTTCTGTTCTAGTTCTGTTCTAGTTCTGTTCTAGTTCTGTTCTAGTTCTGTTCTAGTTCTTTTCTAGTTCTGTTCTAGTTCTGTTCTAGTTCTGTTCTAGTTCTGTTCTAGTTCTGTTCTAGTTCTGTTCTAGTTCTGTTCTAGTTCTGTTCTAGTTCTGTTCTAGTTCTGTTCTAGTTCTGTTCTAGTTCTGTTCTAGTTCTGTTCTAGTTCTGTTCTAGTTCTGTTCTAGTTCTGTTCTAGTTATGTTCTAGTTCTGTTCTAGTTCTGTTCTAGTTATGTTCTAGTTCTGTTCTAGTTCTGTTCTAGTTCTGTTCTAGTTCTGTTCTAGTTCTGTTTTAGTTCTGTTCTAGTTCTGTTTTAGTTCTGTTCTAGTTCTGTTCTAGTTGTGTTCTAGTTCTAGTCCAGTTCTAGTTCTAGTCTAGTTCTGTTCTAGTTCAGTTCTAGTTCAGTTCTAGTTCAGTTCTAGTTCAGTTCTAGTTCAGTTCTAGTTCAGTTCTAGTTCAGTTCTAGTTCAGTTCTAGTTCAGTTCTAGTTCTGTTCTAGTTCTGTTCTAGTTCTGTTCTAGTTCTGTTCTGTTCTGTTCTAGTTCTATTTCTGTTCTAGTTCTGTTCTAGTTCTGTTCTGTTGTGTTCTGTTCTAGTTCGGTTCTAGTTCTGTTCTAGTTCTGTTTTAGTTCTGTTCTAGTTCTGTTCTAGTTCTGTTCTAGTTCTGTTCTAGCTCTATTCTAGTTCAGTTCTTGTTCTGTTCTAGTTTAGTTCTGTTCTAGTTCATTTCTAGTGATAGGGAATCTGAGAAATAATTGAATGATTTATAAAATAAAAAGGTTTTAGTTGAAATCTCTTTAAAGGTTTATTTACATCTGAGTTAATCAGTAAATTTGTGTTCAGTGATTTAGCCTAGTTTATGTTTGGACCATTTTTATTTACATTTTTCGTATTCTACCCAATTTTACATTTACAATTCCATATAATTGACTTAAAACAAAACCCTTGAAATTTAATATACAATTTTATTGACAATTTTACGATTTGGCTTAAAGGCCGGACAAGCAAGGGCAACAAAAAAAGGATGACCATTAGTAGCAAAACAAAATAATCCCTCATATACACACATACTGAAAGGAATTGGCTGTAAAATGTCAAATCCAATTTTAAAAATTACAAAAATCACAACGATTTAATCAGTGTAGAGTGAAAAAAATTGGTTTATGTAGAAGATAAAAACCTTAAATAGACAGTTACAATTTAAATGAATTAAATTGTAAAACATACAGATTTTGTTGAAATAAATTTATAGCAATTTTTAAAGACTAAACAGGATAACAAATTTAGTAGATTAAATTTAAACACATTTTAAGTTAGCTAACAAATGTCAAATGAATTTGACATTTAATAGTTTGAAAATGTTAATCTTTAAATGAAATTAGAAGAAATTTTTCAGCAGCACTTGGCAATTATTTGACTTTCGTTACAAATTTAACACAATTTCCTTTCATATTACATTTAAGTGGCCTTAGATTAACCTTTTGCAACAAAAACGTCTATATATTTAGAGTGTAACTAGAGACTCCATTAAAAACACACTCGAATAAAATCCGGCAAGGCAACGGAAAAAAAAATTAGAAGTGAAATGTGTGCAACAATTTTAATTTAAATTTGCATAAATTGTAGATTTCCCTTTTTCATTTGCTTCATTTAATAGAAGCTTGAATTGTGCCATTTTTATTTAGATTTTATGTTTAATCCTGTTGCCTATTTATCCTCTCTTTCTTCCCACCCCTCCTTTCTAGACATGTACGTGAGGCGACCGGCATAAATGTCGATATGCGTATTGGCATCCATACTGGCAATGTTCTGTGCGGTGTTTTGGGTTTACGTAAGTGGCAATTTGATGTCTGGAGTGATGATGTGACTTTGGCAAATCATATGGAGAGTGGAGGTGTTGCTGGGTGAGTTTTTTTATATACATATATTTCTTGTCATAATCTTTCGACAGTTTTAAGGGTATTGGTTTTTTATTATGGTTTGTTTTTTCTCTGATGAGCTTTCACCCAATAAGTGTTAAGGAAATTTGGTTTTTTATTTAAATACCGGAAATCATTTTGTTAGGAAAGTCGCAATAAAAAAGGTATAAAGTACTTGACATTAAGGAGAAAAGAGAACGAATTTTAATTGCTGAGGGCAATAAACTGAATTCCTATAAATTTAATAAAAATTAATCAAGGTCAAAATCCCAGAGAGTGTAAAATGCATCTTTAGTTTAGTTTAGTACTAGTTTAGTTCTAAGTTTGTTCAAATTCGATTCTAGTTCCGTTCTACTTCTGGTTCTATTCTAATTCTGTTATAATTCTGGCTCAGTTTAGTTCAGTTCTAGTTCAGTTCTAGTTCAGTTCTAGTTCAGTTCCAGTTCAGTTCCAGTTCAACTCTAGTTCAGTTCTAGTTCAGTTCTAGTTCAGTTCTAGTACAGTTGTAGTTCAGTTCTAGTTCAGTTCTAGTTCAGTTCTAGTTCAGTTCTAGTTCAGTTCTAGTTCAATTCTAGTTCAGTTCTAGTTCAGTTCTAGTTCAGTTCTAGTTCAGTTCTAGTTCAGTTCTAGTTCAGTTCTAGTTCTGTTCTAGTTCTGTTCTAGTTCTGTTCTAGTTCTGTTCTAGTTCTGTTCTAGTTCTGTTCTAGTTCTGTTCTAGTTCTGTTCTAGTTCTGTTCTAGTTCTGTTCTAGTTCTAGTTCTGTTCTATTATGTTCTGTTCTGTTCTGTTCCAGTTCAGTTCTAGTTCAGTTCTAGTTCAGTTCTAGTTCAGTTCTAGTTCAGTTCTAGTTCAGTTCTAGTTCAGTTCTAGTTCAGTTCTAGTTCAGTTCTAGTTCAGTTCTAGTTCAGTTCTAGTTCAGTTCTAGTTCAGTTCTAGTTCAGTTCTAGTTCAGTTCTAGTTCAGTTCTAGTTAGTTCTAGTTCAGTTCTAGTTCAGTTCTAGTTCAGTTCTAGTTCAGTTCTAGTTCAGTTCTAGTTCAGTTCTAGTTCAGTTCTAGTTCAGTTCTAGTTCAGTTCTAGTTCAGTTCTAGTTCAGTTCTAGTTCAGTTCTAGTTCAGTTCTAGTTCAGTTCTAGTTCAGTTCTAGTTCAGTTCTAGTTCAGTTCTAGTTCAGTTCTAGTTCAGTTCTAGTTCAGTTCTAGTTCAGTTCTAGTTCAGTTCTAGTTCAGTTCTAGTTCAGTTCTAGTTCAGTTCTAGTTCAGTTCTAGTTCAGTTCTAGTTCAGTTCTAGTTCAGTTCTAGTTCAGTTCTAGTTCAGTTCTAGTTCAGTTCTAGTTCAGTTCTAGTTCAGTTCTAGTTCAGTTCTAGTTCAGTTCTAGTTCAGTTCTAGTTCAGTTCTAGTTCAGTTCTAGTTCAGTTCTAGTTCAGTTCTAGTTCAGTTCTAGTTCAGTTCTAGTTCAGTTCTAGTTCAGTTCTAGTTCAGTTCTAGTTCAGTTCTAGTTCAGTTCTAGTTCAGTTCTAGTTCTGTTCTAGTTCTGTTCTAGTTCTGTTCTAGTTCTGTTCTAGTTCTGTCCTAGTTCTGTTCTAGTTCTGTTCTAGTTCTGTTCTAGTTCTGTTCTAGTTCTGTTCTAGTTCTGTCCTAGTTCTGTTCTAGTTCTGTTCTAGTTCTGTTCTAGTTCTGTTCTAATTCTGTTCTAGTTCTGTTCTAATTCTGTTCTATTACATTTCTAGTTCTGTTCTAGCTCAGTTCTACTTCAGTTCTAGTTATAGCTCTAGCTCAGTTCTACATTAGTCTAGCTCTAGTTTAGTTCTAGCTCAAGTTCAGTTCTACTTCCAAATTAATTTTATCCTATTTTACACAAATTCATTGAACCTTTTTTGCCTTGTTTAAACCATCTTTATCACCTGGTCTAGACTTTTGAATTGTAATAGCTTTTTCTTAAGTACAAAAGTTCCATTATCTTATATAAAAAATACAGTTTTTCTTAAAAATTAAATCAAATTCTTTGATCTAGTTGATATCAATTTAACGCTTTAACATTTTATTATTTTTTGGTTTAATGAAACCACAAATCCCCTTATCCTTAAAAAAAATAAACATACCAAACAAATAAAATTCAATGAATTGGAATCAATACAAAAACTTTGGACAATTTTTTATTCATCTTCCTATTGTTGCTCATCTAATGCTGTCGAACAAATAAATAAAATTGTTCTTTTTTTGTGCAAAAATGTTTGTTTTTACCACAATTTATTTGTTCTAGACGAGTACACATCACCAAACAAACGCTACAATTCCTAAATGATAAATTCGAAGTGGAGGAAGGAAATGGAGGCAGTCGTGATACTTATTTGGCAGATCATAAAATAGAAACGTATTTAATTGTACCACCAAAGGTAAGTTGTTTTTTTTTCCTTTTATTTCCGGAATGAAAATGTAGGAAAATTTAATTGAATGGTTTTTTGGAGGGATACAATACAAATTTTGCAAGAGAATACCGGAAAAGAATTTAATTTACAGGTGGGAAGTCAAAGTTTCTAAAAATTGCAACATTTTCCAATGAAAAATTTGAAATTTTGAAAAAAGTGCAACATTTTTTAAAAAATTGCAATATTTTCTGTTGCAGTTCTTGTTATAGTTCTGTACTAGTTCTGTTCTAGTTCTGTTTTAGTTCTGTTCTAGTTATGTTCTAGTTATGTACTAGTTCTGTTCTATTTCTGTTCTAGTTCTTGTTCTAGTTCTGTTCTAGTTCTGTTCTAGTTCTGTTCTAGTTCTGTTCTAGTTCTGTTCTAGTTCTGTTCTAGTTCTGTTCTAGTTCTGTTCTAGTTCTGTTCTAGTTCTAGTTCTGTTCTAGTTCTGTTCTAGTTCTGTTCTAGATCTGTTCTAGATATGTTCTAGTTCTGTTCTAGTTCTATTCTAGTTCTATTCTAGTTCGATTCTAGTTCGATTCTAGTTCTATTCTAGTTCTGTTCTAGTTCTGTTCTAGTTTTGTTCTAGTTTTGTTCTAGTTCTGTTCTAGTTCTGTTCTAGTTTTGTTCTAGTTCTGTTCTAGTTTTGTTCTAGGTCTGTTCTAGTTCTGTTCTACTTCTGTTCTAGTTCGGTTCTAGTTCAGTTCTAGTTCAGTTCTAGTTCAGTTCTAGTTCAGTTCTAGTTCAGTTCTAGTTCAGTTCTAGTTCAGTTCTAGTTCAGTTCTAGTTCAGTTCTAGTTCAGTTCTAGTTCAGTTCTAGTTCAGTTCTAGTTCAGTTCTAGTTCAGTTCTAGTTCAGTTCTAGTTTAGTTCTAGTTCAGTTCTAGTTCAGTTCTAGTTCAGTTCTAGTTCAGTTCTAGTTCAGTTCTAGTTCAGTTCTAGTTCTGTTCTAGTTCTTTTCTAGTTCTGTTCTAGTTCTTTTCTAGTTCTCTTCTAGTTCTCTTCTAGTTCTGTTCAAGTTCTGTTCTAGTTCTGTTCTAGTTCTGTTCTAGTTCTGTTCTAGTTCTGTTCTAGTTCTGTTCTAGTTCTGTTCTAGTTCTGTTCTAGTTCTGTTCTAGTTCTGTTCTAGTTCTGTTCTAGTTCTGTTCTAGTTCTGTTCTAGTTCTGTTCTAGTTCACTTCTAGTTCTGTTCTAGTTCTGTTCTAGTTCTGTTCTAGTTCTGTTCTAGTTCTGTTCTAGTTCTGTTCTAGTTCTGTTCTAGTTCTGTTCTAGTTCTGTTCTAGTTCTGTTCTAGTTCTGTTCTAGTTCTGTTCTAGTTCTGTTCTAGTTCTGTTCTAGTTCTGTTCTAGTTCTGTTCTAGTTCTGTTCTAGTTCTGTTCTAGTTCTGTTCTAGTTCTGTTCTAGTTCTGTTCTTGTTCTGTTCTAGTTCTGTTCTAGTTCTGTTCTAGTTCTGTTCTAGTTCTGTTCTAGTTCTGTTCTAGTTCTGTTCTAGTTCTGTTCTTGTTCTGTTCTAGTTCTGTTCTAGTTCAGTTCTAGTTCTGTTCTAGTTCTGTTCTAGTTCTGTTCTAGTTCTGTTCTAGTTCTTTTCTAGTTCTGTTTTAGTTCTGTTCTAGTTCTGTTATAGTTCTGTTCTAGTTCTTTTCTAGTTCTGTTCCAGTTGTGTTCTAGTTCTATTCTAGTTCTGTTCTAGTTCAGAATATTGTCTTATTTTCTAAAAAGTCACATTTTCCTGAGATTTGCTTTGTATTTTTCTAATTAATTTTCCAACAACATTTTCTACTTCAAACTTAAATCCAAAAAACCACTTCAGCACCCTGAATAGCAATTTAAATCTTCTTTTATTCCCATCAACTTCAATCCCATAAAAGTCCACTACAATTTATGTGATTTCCATTAGAAAAAGGTCATTTAAGCAACAATTTTTACAACATTTTTTTTCTCTCTCCTTTAGAAACCCACCTACATCACCCACATAGTGCCACGTATCACAGAAATTAACTCATCACAGGACAATGTAAACATGCATCTCGATACATCCAATGCCAGCAATCACCATCACAGCTTTAGCAATAATGTGGAAGCCGAAGCAACCGAGAAACTTTTACCAGTGACAGTAGTAAATTTCAAAACTATAGAAACAACAGAATCCTCCGGCAACCTTAAAATCTCGCCCACGGCTGCAGCTACAAATAGTCCAGAACATAAATTGGGACAATTATCATCGAGAACATCAATGTCCATTAAAGAGGAAGAGGATGAAGATACGGTTGAATTAAGAAATCCCCAACAAATGCAACAGGATGGTTCACTAACTCCTACTAATTCAGGCACCCAACTGTTGTTGCAGCAAAAACGTTTAAGTGATGGCAGTGATGCAGCAAATGCAATCACCAATAATACTCATGCTTCACTAACACCAAAGTCATCATTAACTTTACCCCATAATGATGATGCTCTTAGTGCTAGTGGTAGTGAGGAGGGGGCAATTTCAAATAGTGGTTCTAATAATGCAGCTAGTGCTAATGCACTTGTTGAAAATCCTATAGGAAATTGTGAATCATCACAATCATTGCAACAGGCTGCAGTGGCAACAACAACAACTACAGCTAATGGTGTAGTACCTTTAAATGCAACAACAAATGTTTCTTCAACATCAGCGGTAGCAACGACAACAACAACAACATCTACTCCAGCTAATAATGGCAATAATTTATTGCCTGAGATACCAGAGGCTAAAAGTCGTAGGAAATTATCTGTACAAGGTAGGAAACTAAAGAGCTGATGCCTTTTTTAAGAAATTTTTTATTAAAAGGCAACATTTTTTCAAAAAATATTGCAAAATATTTACAGAACATTTACATTTCTTCCAAAAATTTTGTAAAAAATGCACTCTTTTCTATAAATTTAAAATTTTATGTAGAAAAATAATGTAAAAGCAACATTTTCTATAAAAAATTGTGAAAAATGCAAAAACTTTCAAAAATTTGAAAAAGTGCAAAAAACTTTTTATAGAAAATTTTAAAATTTTGCAAAAAGTGCAACATTTTTGGTAGAAAAATTAAAAATTTCCTAAATTTTAACTTTTTCTATATAAATTTTGCCAAAATTTTTGAAAAATGCAACATTTTCATTAAAAAATTTTACATTTTGAAACATTTTTTATCAAAAATTTACAATTATTTGCCAAATGCACAACAATTTTTATAGAAAATTTTCAAATTTTGCAAAAAGTGCAACATTTCCTATAGAAAATAAACAAGATTTGCAAAAAGTGCAACATTTTTTTAAAGAAAATTTGCAATGTTTACAAAAAGTACAAATGTTTTTATGGAAAATATGCAAATTATGTAAAAAGTGCAACATATTTTATAGAAAATTTGGAAATTTAGGAAAAAGTGCAATATTGTTTATAGAAAATGTGGAAATTTTTTAAAAAGTGCAACATTTTTGATATATAAATATGCAAAAAGTTTATTATTTGCAATAAAAATATTCAAAAGTGTAAAATTTTTTATACAAAATTTGGAAATTCCTTAAAAAGTGCAACATTTTTAATACATAAATTTGCAAAAGGTTTATTGGTTGCAATAAAAAATTTGCAAAAGTGCAACATTTTCTAAAAAAATGCAATATATTCTATATAAATCTTGCAAATTGTTTAAAAAGTACATTTTCTATAAAAACAAATAAATAAAACCTACAAATACTGTAAAAAGTGCCACATTTTTTAAACAAAATTTGGATATTTTTTAAAAAGTGCAACATTTTTGATACATAAATATGCAAAACGTTTATTGTTTGCAATAAAAATTTTGCAAAAGTGCAAGAATTTTTATAAAAATTTACAAAAGTACAATATTTTCTTCAAACAAATTGCAATATTTTCTATATAAATATTGCAAATTGTAGATTTTCTATTAAAAAAATTACCCAAAACCACAAATATTGGAAAAAGTGCAACATTTTTTATACAAAATTTGGAAAGTGCAAAATTTTCTAATAAAAAGTTTGCTAAAAGTTTATTATATAAAATAAAAATTCTGCAAAAGTGCAAGAATTTTTATAAAAATTTGCAAAAGTGCAACATTTTCTACAAAAAAAATTGCAATATTTTCTATATAAATCTTGCAAATTGTTTAAAAAGTACATTTTCTATAAAAACAAATAAATAAAACCTACAAATACTGTAAAAAGTGCCACATTTTTTAAACAAAATTTGGATATTTTTTAAAAAGTGCAACATTTTTGATACATAAATATGCAAAACGTTTATTGTTTGCAATAAAAATTTTGCAAAAGTGCAAGAATTTTTATAAAAATTTACAAAAGTGCAACATTTTCTACTAAAGAATTGCAATATTTTCTATATAAATTTTGCAAATTGTTTAGAAAGTATATTTTCTATAATAAAATTACCAAAAACCACAAATATTGTAAAAAGTGCAACATTTTTAATACAAAATTTGGAAACTCTTTAAAAAGTGCAAATTTTTCTATATAAAAAGTTTACTATTGTCAATAAAAATTTGAAAAAGTGCAACATTTTCTAAAAAAAATGCAATATTTTTTGAATAATTTTTTAAATTGTTTCTTCTTCTTTCGCTTTTATAGGGTTAATATCATTTGCCGATAGAAGACGTTCTTCGGGTGCCTTTATGGAACGTAAAATGTCCATACACACCAATGAAAGTTTTCGCAGTCATGGCGGTAAGTCAGCACTTTAAAGTTCAAGCAAATGTTAAAAAAAAAACTTTAGTCTTAAATTAAATAAAATTGCAAAGTTTTTCCCTTTTCCTTAAAAGACAAACTTATAATAAAATTTATTTGAAATTTATTTTTACTTTATATGTATTTGTTTCCTCTTATGTATTTCCACAGGTCATGTAACACGCAATCGTCCTTCATCGAAAATGACCAAATACGTTGAATGCTGGGGTGCAGATCGACCATTTGCCAATATAGCTGAATCGAAATTGGTGAAAAATATTGGTTTGGCTGTAAGTATTTTTACGATGCACACATACACATACACACACTCGGAAAGGAGCAGAAAACAATTTAACAAAAAGAGCATATTGTAGGAAACAAGTAACTTTCTTTTAGTAAATTACTTATCCCTTTGGTCAAATTTGTAAATACAATTTGAAATGTATTTCTTTCGTATTTTTTTCCTCATATGATAGAGAACAGTATAAAAGGGTTGTAGCAACAGTGGCTTACAAAATTATTTTCATTGTAACAAAATTTTGAAATACATATGTTGCTCTTTTTGCAAAAGATGATACAAATTTTGCACAGTTTCAAATTTTCTATAGAAAATGTTACACTTTTTGTAAAATTTCCAAATTTTCTAAAGAAAATGTTGCACTTTTTACAAATTTGTAAATGTTATAAAGAAATTTTTACAAAATTCGCAAAATGTATAAAGAAAATTTTGCACTTTTTGCACAAATTCTTAGATTTCTAAAGAATATGTTGCCCTTTTTACAAATTTTCTATTAAATATGTTGCCTTTTTTTACAAAATTGCAAAATATCTATGGAAAATGTTACCTTTCTAAAGAAAATACTGCAATCTTTGCACAATTCATAAAATTTTGCACTTTTTACAAAATGTGTAAAGAAAATGTTGCACTTTTTAACAATTTGGAAAAATTTTAAAGAAAATGTTACACCTTTTGCTAATAATTTAAAGGAAATGTAGAAAATTTTATAAAATTAACAAGTTTTATTACAAAAATTGAAATTTTTCTGCATAAAATGTTGCCCTTTTTGCAAATTTTTTTAAGAAAATGTTGCACTTTTTACATAATCGTAAGAAAATGATAAAATTTTGGTAAAATTTTGGAAAATGTTGCACTTTTGCAAAATGTCTATAGGAAATGTTGACTTTTTTAATAAAATTAAAAAAAATGTAGATCTTTATTGCAAAACTTGCAAATTTTCTATAGAAAATGTTGCCCTTTAATGCACTTTTTTACTTTTTCATAATTATTAATGTAATTGTTGAAGTCTTTGTAAAGACCATACATTTTACAAGGAAAATGTTGCCCTTTATGCAAAACTATCAAATTTTGTAAATAAAATGTTGCACTTTTTGCAATATTTGCAAATTTTCTATTGAAATTACTACCGTTTTTACAAGCCGAGAAAATATCTCGACCTTTTTGCAAAACTATAACTTATAATATTACTTTTCTCTCCCACTGTATTGAACATTTATAGTTTTCCTCAAGTTTAACAGTTTTTGTAATGTTGTTCTTTTGAAATTCTCTGTAACAACTAAATAACATATATGTTCTTTTTAGTTACATGTATCTACATATCTTATACACTCTCTAACTCACCCTACCTCCCACTACCATTTGACTACCTTATCTTTATTAAATAAATAAAATTTTAAACATGTTAACAAAAATTTCTAACATTTCATGTAACTGAGATTTTTGTGTTCACTTAAAAAAAAAATCCTCTTCTTTAAGACCTAAAGCAAAAATTGCAATTTGTTTAAAAGACAAAAAAAAAATTTTATAAAATGTAACAAAATTCTTCCGTCTTAGTAAATTTTCATATACAAAGTAAATGTCAAAGATGATAAACACCTTGAAGTAAGAATAGAAGTGAAACTAAATGGTGAAAAGTATAATTAAATTTTGTGTACACAAAATTATAAAGGACAACTAAGTAAAGTGCATTAAATGGAAATTAAATGAAACTAAACTGGCAGAATTTGAAAGAAAAATTTGTAAAGAAAATTTTTAGTTTTTGCTAAAAGGGCAACATTTTGTAAAGAAAAATTGAAGATTCTGCTATAAGAGAAGAGATTCTATAGAAAAGGCAACAATTTTTTTATAGAAAATTTTTAGCTTTTGCCAAAAAGGCAACATTTTCTATAGAAAATTTTTAGCTTTTGCCAAAAAGGCAACATTTTCTATAGAAAATTTGCAGCTTTTGCCAAAAAGGCAACATTTTCTAGAGAAAATTTGCAGCTTTTGCCAAAAAGGCAACATTTTCTATAGAAAATTTGCAGCTTTTGCCAAAAAGGCAACATTTTCTATAGAAAATTTGCAGCTTTTGCCAAAAAGGCAACATTTTCTATAGAAAATTTGCAGCTTTTGCCAAAAAGGCAACATTTTCTATAGAAAATTTGCAGCTTTTGCCAAAAAGGCAACATTTTCTATAGAAAATTTGCAGCTTTTGCCAAAAAGGCAACATTTTCTATAGAAAATTTGCAGCTTTTGCAAAAAAGGCAACATTTTCTATAGAAAATTTGCAGCTTTTGCAAAAAAGGCAACATTTTCTATAGAAAATTTGCAGCTTTTGCCAAAAAGGCAACATTTTCTATAGAAAATTTGCAGCTTTTGCCAAAAAGGCAACATTTTCTATAGAAAATTTGCAGATTTTGCCAAAAAGGCAACATTTTCTATAAATAAATTGCTTTTTTGCCAAAAAGGCAACATTTTCTATAGAAAATTAAAAGTTTGTGCCAAAATTTAAAAATTTTTCTTTGAAATTTGTTAAAAATTTAAAAATTTTTCTTTGAAATTTGTTAAAAATTTAAAATTTTCTATTGAAATTTGTAGCTGTCATGATTTATTGAGTACAATAACTAATTGCTGTTGTAGGTTGTTGTTGTGAATTTGATTAACATGGAACACTGAGAGCAAATAATTAACATATTTCACTAAAACTTTTAAACATTTTCACTGAAAACTTAAAGCTTTTGTTAAACATACATTATTTTAGAGAACTTGCTGCTTTCATAAAAATTCATTATTTTCCTAAAAAGAAAAACAAACTTCCTTTGATATTATACAGTTTTCCATTTAAGAAAATATTTTCCTTAAATTTATGACCCTTTTATCTTTTTTGTCTTTAAACCTTAAGACATTATATATGATGCTTTTTGTTAGATTTTTATTTATCCTTAATGTATATCCTGTAACTTTTAGCTGTTTAACAATAAAAAGCTATTCTTCCTTTTTTTCCTTAAGACTTTAACATTTTTCCTTTCATGCTTTCCTTTTCACTTAAAAACATTAAATATTTCTATTGCATGACCACCTGCAGAGTATAGCCATGATTGAATCAAACTTACTGCCACCGGAGCGTAAATGTTTTAATTTCAATTGTTTTGGACCGCCCACCGAATTGAAGCCACTAACCATGTGGTATCGTAATACACCGCGTGAGGTGATGTATCGTGCCCGGCCCGATACACACTTTCGTTATGATTTAATCTGTGCTTTTTTGCTGTTTATATCGATAGCTCTGGTTCAATTAATAGTAATGGAAGTGTGAGTATTGTTATAAGAAGCAAATAAATACAATTTTATGAAGATTTTGTTTATTTTAAATAGGAACTTTGCTTTATTGGGTTCCTTGGCCGCCACCTTTATATCCTTGGGTATGTTTTTGTATTTAAGCAACATGCATGTACCCGATATTGAATCCTCTACAGCGGATAGAAATGGCCCTGGTCAAGTGGTGGCTAGCAGCCGTTATTTGCGCTTGGCTATATTTATTATAGCAAATATTTTAATCTCGGCCTGTGCTGTGTTCAGTGTGGTAAGTTTTTTCTCTAAATCTTGAAAATTTCTTTATATTATTTGTATCTATTTCCCAGATAAACTTTACCACCGATCCTGAGTTTATTTCCTCGAATCTTACTTCTTTAACTAATTCCTCCAATGATTCTTCTATACCCGATATTGTTCCTTCCATGATTTTATATCCCGATTTAAATATAGCTCCTATGTTCCTGTTCTGCTGTGCCATTAGTTTAGCTGCCATTTCGGCTTTCTTAAGATCGGGTTTTATTCTAAAACTTTTCACCATGTTTGTGGCTTTAGTGTGTCAAATAATTATATTGCATTACAATGATTTGTATGAGAGATATAATTTAGAACTGAGAGAGGACTGGTAAGTAAAAATTTCTTAAATTTAAAGCAAAATTTTCTAACTTTTAGCCTCCGTTTAACCAGTTTACCCATCGAGGTCAAAGGTTTTCTTTTGCTGTTATTGGTGATAGCGGTGTTGCATACCCTGGATCGCCAGGGTGAATATGTGGCGAGAACTGATTTCTTGTGGAAGGCTAAATTGAAAGTTGAACAGGAGGAAGTGGAGACCATGCGGGGAATTAATAAAGTAAGTAACTTCTAATGAAAATTTTGCATTAACAAATCTTCTAAAGCAAGGGCAAAAAGGATTAACATCTGTGATCACTTCCATTTCCTAATAAAAAATCGATTTTTGAGTGAAAACATAAAAGTCCATTTTCTGGCTAAACTAGAGGCCCCTGGGCAAAAAGCATTAAAATCTGTGATCACTTTTGTTCCCCACCAAAAACTCGATTTTTGAGTGAAAACATAAAAGTCCAATTTCTGGCTAAACTAGAGGCCCCTGGGCAAAAAGGATTCAAATATGTGATCACTTTTGTTTCCCACGAAAACCCGATTTTTGAGTGAAAACATAAAAGTCCATTTTCTGGCTAAACTAGAGGCCCCAGAGCAAAACGGATTAAAACCTGTGATCACTTCCATTTCCTAATAAAACTCGATTTTTGAGTGAAAACATAAAAGTCCATTTTCTGGCTAAACTAAAGGCCCCTGGGCAAAAAGGATTAAAGTTTGTGATCACTTCCATTTCCTAATAAAACTCGATTTTTGAGTGAAAACATAAAAGTCCATTTTCTGGCTAAACTAGAGGCCCCTGGGCAAAAAGCATTAAAATCTGTGATCACTTTTGTTTCCCACCAAAAACTTGATTTTTGAGTGAAAACATAAAAGTCCATTTTCTGGCTAAACTATGGCAAAAATAATTAAAATCTGTGATCACTTTCATTTCCTAATAAAACTCGAGTTTTGAGTGAAAACATAAAAGTCCATTTTCTGGCTAAACTAGAGGCCGCAGGACAAAAAGCATTAAAATCTGTGATCACTTTTGTTTCCCACCAAAAACTCGATTTTTGAGTGAAAACATAAAAGTCCATTTTCTGGCTAAACTAGAGGCCCCAGGGCAAAAATAATTAAAATCTGTGATCACTTTCATTTCCTAACAAAACTCGATTTTTAAGTGAAAACATAAAAGTCCATTTTCTGGCTAAACTAGAGGCCCCAGGACAAAAAGCATTAAAATCTGTGATCATTTTGGTTTCCAACCAAAAACTCGATTTTTGAGTGAAAACATAAAAGTCCATTTTATGGCTAAACTAGAGGCCCCTGGGCAAAAAGGATTAAAATCTGTGATCACTTTAATTTCCTAATAAAACTCGATTTTTGAGTGAAAACGTAAAAGTCCATTTTCTGGCTAAACTAGAGGCCCCAGGGCAAAAAGCATTAAAATCTGTGACCACTTTTGTTTCCCACCAAAAACTCGATTTTTGAGTGAAAACGTAAAAGTCAATTTTCTGGCTAAACTAAAGCATTAAAATCTGTGATCACTTTTGTTTCCCACCAAAAACTCGACTTTTGAGTGAAAACAAAAAAGTCCATTTTCTGGCTAAACTAGAGGCCCCAGGGCAAAAAGCATTAAAATCTGTTATCACTTTTGAGGCCCCAGGGCAAAAAGCATTAAAATCTGTGATCACTTTAATTTCCTAATAAAACTCGATTTTTGAGTGAAAACATAAAAGTCCATTTCCTGGCTAAACTAGAGGCCCCAGGGCAAAAAGCATTAAAATCTGTGATCACTTTTGAGGCCCCAGGGCAAAAAGCATTAAAATCTGTGATCACTTTAATTTCCTAATAAAACTCGATTTTTGAGTGAAAACATAAAAGTCCATTTTCTGGCTAAACTAGAGGCCCCTGGGCAAAAAGCATTAAAATCTGTGATCACTTTTGTTCCCCACCAAAAACTCGATTTTTGAGTGAAAACATAAAAGTCCAATTTCTGGCTAAACTAGAGGCCCCTGGGCAAAAAGGATTCAAATATGTGATCACTTTTGTTTCCCACGAAAACCCGATTTTTGAGTGAAAACATAAAAGTCCATTTTCTGGCTAAACTAGAGGCCCCATAGCAAAACGGATTAAAACCTGTGATCACTTCCATTTCCTAATAAAACTCGATTTTTAAGTGAAAACATAAAAGTCCATTTTCTGGCTAAACTAGAGGCCCCTGGGCAAAAAGGATTAAAATCTGTGATCACTTCCATTTCCTAATAAAACTCGATTTTTGAGTGAAAACATAAAAGTCCATTTTCTGGCTAAACTAGAGGCCCCTGGGCAAAAAGCATTAAAATCTGTGATCACTTTTGTTTCCCACCAAAAACTTGATTTTTGAGTGAAAACATAAAAGTCCATTTTCTGGCTAAACTAGAGGCCCCAGGGCAAAACGGATTAAAACCTGTGATCACTTCCATTTCCTAATAAAACTCGATTTTTGAGTGAAAACATAAAAGTCCATTTTCTGGCTAAACTAGAGGCCCCAGGGCAAAAAGCATTAAAATCTGTGATCACTTTTGTTTCCCACCAAAAAGTCGATTTTTGAGTGAAAACATAAAAGTCCATTTTCTGGCTAAACTAGAGGCCGCAGGACAAAAAGCATTAAAATTTGTGATCACTTTTGTTTCCCACCAAAAACTCGATTTTTGAGTGAAAACATAAAAGTCCATTTTCTGGCTAAACTAGAGGCCCCAGGGCAAAACGGATTAAAACCTGTGATCACTTCCATTTCCTAATAAAACTCGATTTTTGAGTGAAAACATAAAACTAGAGGCCCCAGGGCAAAAAGCATTAAAATCTGTGATCACATTTGTTTCCCACCAAAAAGTCGATTTTTGAGTGAAGACATAAAAGTCCATTTTCTGGCTAAACTAGAGGCCGCAGGACAAAAAGCATTAAAATCTGTGATCACTTTTGTTTCCCACCAAAAACTCGATTTTTGAGTGAAAACAAAAGTCCATTTTCTGGCTAAACTAGAGGCCCCAGGGCAAAAAGGATTAAAATCTGTGATCACTTTTGTTTCCCACCAAAAAGTCGATTTTTGAGTGAAAACATAAAAGTCCATTTTCTGGCTAAACTAGAGGCCCCTGGGCAAAAAGGATTAAAATCTGTGATCACTTTTGTTTCCCACCAAAAAGTCGATTTTTGAGTGAAAACATAAAAGTCCATTTTCTGGCTAAACTAGAGGCCCCTGGGCAAAAAGGATTAAAATCTGTGATCACTTCCATTTCCTAATAAAACTCGATTTTTGAGTGAAAACATAAAAGTCCATTTTCTGGCTAAACTAGAGGCCCCAGGGCAAAACGGATTAAAACCTGTGATCACTTCCATTTCCTAATAAAACTCGATTTTTGAGTGAAAACATAAAACTAGAGGCCCCAGGGCAAAAAGGATTAAAATCTGTGATCACTTCCATTTCCTAATAAAACTCGATTTTTGAGTGAAAACATAAAAGTCCATTTTCTGGCTAAACTAGAGGCCCCTGGGCAAAAAGAATTAAAATCTGTGATCACATTTGTTTCCCACCAAAAAGTCGATTTTTGAGTGAAAACATAAAAGTCCATTTTCTGGCTAAACTAGAGGCCCCAGGGCAAAAAGGATTAAAATCTGTGATCACTTTTGTTTCCCACCAAAAACTTGATTTTTGAGTGAAAATATAAAAGTCCATTTTCTGGCTAAACTAGAGGCCCCAGGGCAAAACGGATTAAAACCTGTGATCACTTCCATTTCCTAATAAAACTCGATTTTTGAGTGAAAACATAAATGTCCATTTTCTGGCTAAACTAGAGGCCGCAGGACAAAAAGCATTTTAAATCTGTGATCACTTTTGTTTCCCACCAAAAACTCGATTTTTGAGTGAAAACATAAAAGTCCATTTTCTGGCTAAACTAGAGGCCCCTGGGCAAAAAGGATTAAAATCTGTGATCACTTCCATTTCCTAATAAAACTCGATTTTTGAGTGAAAACATAAAAGTCCATTTTCTGGCAAAAAGAATTAAAATCTGTGATCACATTTGTTTCCCACCAAAAAGTCGATTTTTGAGTGAAAACATAAAAGTCCATTTTCTGGCTAAACTAGAGGCCCCAGGGCAAAAAGGATTAAAATCTGTGATCACTTTTGTTTCCCACCAAAAACTTGATTTTTGAGTGAAAATATAAAAGTCCATTTTCTGGCTAAACTAGAGGCCCCAGGGCAAAACGGATTAAAACCTGTGATCACTTCCATTTCCTAATAAAACTCGATTTTTGAGTGAAAACATAAAAGTCCATTTTCTGGCTAAACTATAGGCCCCAGGGCAAAAAGGATTAAAATCTGTGATCACTTTTGTTTCCCACCAAAAAGTCGATTTTTGAGTGAAAACATAAAAGTCCATTTTCTGGCTAAACTAGAGGCCCCTGGGCAAAAAGGATTAAAATCTGTGATCACTTTTGTTTCCCACCAAAAAGTCGATTTTTGAGTGAAAACATAAAAGTCCATTTTCTAGCTAAACTAGAGGCCCCTGGGCAAAAAGGATTAAAATCTGTGATCACTTCCATTTCCTAATAAAACTCGATTTTTGAGTGAAAACATAAAAGTCCATTTTCTGGCTAAACTAGAGGCCCCAGGGCAAAACGGATTAAAACCTGTGATCACTTCCATTTCCTAATAAAACTCGATTTTTGAGTGAAAACATAAAACTAGAGGCCCCAGGGCAAAAAGGATTAAAATCTGTGATCACTTCCATTTCCTAATAAAACTCGATTTTTGAGTGAAAACATAAAAGTCCATTTTCTGGCTAAACTAGAGGCCCCTGGGCAAAAAGAATTAAAATCTGTGATCACATTTGTTTCCCACCAAAAAGTCGATTTTTGAGTGAAAACATAAAAGTCCATTTTCTGGCTAAACTAGAGGCCCCAGGGCAAAAAGGATTAAAATCTGTGATCACTTTTGTTTCCCACCAAAAACTTGATTTTTGAGTGAAAATATAAAAGTCCATTTTCTGGCTAAACTAGAGGCCCCAGGGCAAAACGGATTAAAACCTGTGATCACTTCCATTTCCTAATAAAACTCGATTTTTGAGTGAAAACATAAATGTCCATTTTCTGGCTAAACTAGAGGCCGCAGGACAAAAAGCATTTTAAATCTGTGATCACTTTTGTTTCCCACCAAAAACTCGATTTTTGAGTGAAAACATAAAAGTCCATTTTCTGGCTAAACTAGAGGCCCCTGGGCAAAAAGGATTAAAATCTGTGATCACTTCCATTTCCTAATAAAACTCGATTTTTGAGTGAAAACATAAAAGTCCATTTTCTGGCTAAACTAGAGGCCGCAGGACAAAAAGCATTAAAATCTGTGATCACTTTTGTTTCCCACCAAAAACTCGATTTTTGAGTGAAAACATAAAAGTCCATTTTCTGGCTAAACTAGAGGCCCCTGGGCAAAAAGGATTAAAATCTGTGATCACTTCCATTTCCTAATAAAACTCGATTTTTGAGTGAAAACATAAAAGTCCATTTTCTGGCTAAACTAGAGGCCCCTGGGCAAAAAGAATTAAAATCTGTGATCACTTTTTTTCCCACCAAAAACTCGAGTTTTGAGTGAAAACATAAAAGTCCATTTTCTGGCTAAACTATAGGCCGCAGGACAAAAAGCATTAAAATCTGTGATCACTTTTGTTTCCCACCAAAAACTCGATTTTTGAGTGAAAACATAAAAGTCCATTTTCTGGCTAAACTAAACTGGGCAAAAAGGATTAAAATCTGTGATCACTTCCATTTCCTAATAAAACTCGATTTTTGAGTGAAAACATAAAAGTCCATTTTCTGGCTAAACTAGAGGCCGCAGGACAAAAAGCATTAAAATCTGTGATCACTTTTGTTTCCCACCAAAAACTCGATTTTTGAGTGAAAACATAAAAGTCCATTTTCTGGCTAAACTAGAGGCCCCTGGGCAAAAAGGATTAAAATCTGTGATCACTTCCATTTCCTAATAAAACTCGATTTTTGAGTGAAAACATAAAAGTCCATTTTCTGGCTAAACTAGAGGCCGCAGGACAAAAAGCATTAAAATCTGTGATCACTTTTGTTTCCCACCAAAAACTCGATTTTTGAGTGAAAACATAAAAGTCCATTTTCTGGCTAAACTAGAGGCCCCTGGGCAAAAAGGATTAAAATCTGTGATCACTTCCATTTCCTAATAAAACTCGATTTTTGAGTGAAAACATAAAAGTCCATTTTCTGGCTAAACTAGAGGCCGCAGGACAAAAAGCATTTTAAATCTGTGATCACTTTTGTTTCCCACCAAAAACTCGATTTTTGAGTGAAAACATAAAAGTCCATTTTCTGGCTAAACTAAACTGGGCAAAAAGGATTAAAATCTGTGATCACTTCCATTTCCTAATAAAACTCGATTTTTGAGTGAAAACATAAAAGTCCATTTTCTGGCTAAACTAGAGGCCGCAGGACAAAAAGCATTAAAATCTGTGATCACTTTTGTTTCCCACCAAAAACTCCATTTTCTGGCTAAACTAGAGGCCCCAGGGCAAAACGGATTAAAACCTGTGATCACTTCCATTTCCAAATAAAACTCGATTTTTGAGTGAAAACATAAAAGTGGCTAAACTAGAGGCCCCAGGGCAAAAAGCATTAAAATCTGTGATCACTTCCATTACCTACCAAAAACCCGATTTTTTAGTGAAAACATAAAAGTCCATTTTCTGGCTAAACAAGAGGCCTCAGGGCAAAACGGACTAAAACCTGTGATCACTTCCATTTCCTAATAAAACTCGATTTTTGAGTGAAAACATAAAAGTCCATTTTCTGGCTAAACTAAAGGACCCAGGGCAAAAAGCATTAAAATCTGTGATCACTTTTGTTTCCCACCAAAAACTCGATTTTTGAGTGAAAACATAAAAATCCATTTTCTGGCTAAACTAGAGGCCCCTGGGCAAAAAGGATTAAAATCTGTGATCACTTCCATTTCCTAATAAAACTCGATTTTTGAGTGAAAACATTAAAGTCCATTTTCTGGCTAAACTAGAGGCCCCAGGGCAAAAAGCATTAAAATCTGTGATCACTTTTGTTTCCCACCAAAAACTCGATTTTTGAGTGAAAACATAAAAGTCCATTTTCTGGCTAAACTAGAGGCCCCAGGGCAAAAATCATTAAAATCTGTAATCACTTCTATTTCCTAATAAAACTCGATTTTTGAGTGAAAACATAAAGGTCCATTTTCTGGCTAAACTAGAGGCCCCAGGGCAAAAAGCTTTAAAATCTGTGATCACTTTTGTTTCCCACCAAAAACTCGATTTTTGAGTGAAAACATAAAAGTCCATTTTCTGTCTAAACTAGAGGCCCCAGGGCAAAAAGCTTTAAAATGTGTGATCACATTTGTTTCCCACCAAAACCTCGATTTTTGAGTGAAAACATAAAAGTCAATTTTCTGGCTAAACTAGAGGCCCCAGGACAAAAAGCATTAAAATCTGTGATCACTTTTATTTCCTAATAAAACTCGATTTTTGAGTGAAAACATAAAAGTCCATTTTCTGGCTAAACTAGAGGCCTCAGGGCAAAACGGATTAAAACCTGTGATCACTTCCATTTCCTAATAAAACTCGATTTTTGAGTGAAAACATAAAAGTCTAATTTCTGGCTAAACTAAAGGCCCCTGGGCAAAAAGCATTAAAATCTGTGATCACTTCCATTTTCTACCAAAATTAAATTTTTGAGTGAAAACATAAAAGTCCATTTTCTGGCTAAACTAGAGCCCCCAGGGCAAAAAGCATTAAAATCTGTGATCACTTTTGTTTCCCACCAAAAACTCGATTTTTGAGTGAAAACATAAAAGTCTAATTTCTGGCTAAACTAAAGGCCCCTGGGCAAAAAGCATTAAAATCTGTGATCACTTTTGTTTCCAATCAAAAACTCGATTTTTGAGTGAAAACATAAAAATCCATTTTTTGGCTAAACTAGAGGCCCCTGGGCAAAAAGCATTAAAATCTGTGATCACTTTTGTTGCCCAACAAAATTCAATTCTTGAGTGTAAACATAAATTATTATAATGTACAAAAAATTATCTTTTTTTATTCACAGATTCTCTTAGAAAACATTTTACCTGCTCACGTGGCCACACATTTCCTACACCAAGAACGCTCTACGGAATTGTATCATGAAAGTTATTCCTGTGTAGCTGTAATGTTTGCCTCTATACCCAATTATAAAGAATTTTATGATGAGACGGATGTGAATAAACAAGGTTTAGAATGTTTAAGATTACTCAATGAAATTATATGCGATTTTGATAAGGTAAGAGAATTTCTATGACGTTATATCTAGCTATTCGATCGTTTAATAAATTAATACCTCTATCTCTTTTCAGTTACTTTTAAAACCCAAATTCAGTGGCATCGAAAAAATCAAAACTATAGCTAGCACATATATGTGTGCTTCAGGATTAAGACCCGGCAAAGAAGAGGGAGCTACGGTAAGTTTGTTTTCTACTTGTTTCATTAATACGAATTTGTTCTTTAGTCTTGTATCTATATATAAAGGTAGTGGCGTTTAGTGTAGTCCTTGTCTTTGTAGTTTAGTCATGTGTTAACTGTCAAGTGTCATGTTTCTTTTTTTATTCTTAATCTTTTCAATTTAATCTTTTTTCTCTCTTGAAATTTTTCTAACACAATAAACAAGCAGCTTATGCGTAATTTTGCGGTAAGTAACACCTTCAACTAAACACAAGTTTAGAACAAAAGTTTCTGTAATATTTTGCAATTTTCAATAGAAAAAGCTGCAAATTTTCTATAGAAAATGTTGCCCTTTTGGCAAAAGCTGCAAATTTTCTATAGAAAATGTTGCCCTTTTGGCAAAAGCTGCAAATTTTCTATAGAAAATGTTGCCCTTTTGGCAAAAGCTGCAAATTTTCTATAGAAAATGTTGCCCTTTTGGCAAAAGCTGCAAATTTTCTATAGAAAATGTTGCCCTTTTGGCAAAAGCTGCAAATTTTCTATAGAAAATGTTGCCCTTTTGGCAAAAGCTGCAAATTTTCTATAGAAAATGTTGCCCTTTTGGCAAAAGCTGCAAATTTTCTATAGAAAATGTTGCCCTTTTGGCAAAAGCTGCAAATTTTCTATAGAAAATGTTGCCCTTTTGGCAAAAGCTGCAAATTTTCTATAGAAAATGTTGCCCTTTTGGCAAAAGCTGCAAATTTTCTATAGATGTTGCCCTTTGGCAAAGCTGCAATTTCTATAGAAAATGTTGCCCTTTTGGCAAAAGCTGCACATTTTCTATAGAAAATGTTGCCCTTTTGGCCAAAGCTGCAAATTTTCTATAGAAAATGTTGCCCTTTTGGCCAAAGCTGCAAATTTTCTATAGAAAATGTTGCCCTTTTGGCAAAAGCTGCAAATTTTCTATAGAAAATGTTGCTCTTTTGGCAAAAGCTGCAAATTTTCTATAGAAGTTGTTGCCCTTTTGGCAAAAGCTGCAAATTTTCTATAGAAAATGTTGCCCTTTTGGCAAAATCTGCAAATTTTCTATAGAAAATGTTGCCCTTTTGGCAAAAGCTGCAAATTTTCTATAGAAAATGTTGCCCTTTTGGCAAAAGCTGCTAATTTTCTATAGAAAATGTTGCTCTTTTGGCAAAAGCTGCAAATTTTCTATAGAAAATGTTGCCCTTTTGGCAAAAGCTGCAAATTTTCTATATAATATGTTGCCCTTTTGGCAAAAGCTGCAAATTTTCTATAGAAAATGTTGCCCTTTTGGCAAAAGCTGCAAATTTTCTATAGAAAATGTTGCCCTTTTGGCAAAAGCTGCAAATTTTCTATAGAAAATGTTGCCCTTTTGGCAAAAGCTGCAAATTTTCTATAGAAAATGTTGCCCTTTTGGCAAAAGCTGCAAATTTTCTATAGAAAATGTTACCCTTTTTGGAAAATGTAGCAAATTTTCTATACAAAATGTTGCCTTTTTGGCAAAAGCTGCAAATTTTCTATAGAAAATGTTGCCTTTTGGCCAAAGCTGCAAATTTTCTATAGAAAATGTTGCTCTTTTGGCAAAAGCTGCAAATTTTCTATAGAAAATGTTGCCCTTTTGGCCAAAGCTGCAAATTTTCTATAGAAAATGTTGCCCTTTTGGCAAAAGCTGCAAATTTTCTATAGAAAATGTTGCTCTTTTGGCAAAAGCTGCAAATTTTCTATAGAAGTTGTTGCCCTTTTGGCAAAAGCTGCAAATTTTCTATAGAAAATGTTGCCCTTTTGGCAAAATCTGCAAATTTTCTATAGAAAATGTTGCCCTTTTGGCAAAAGCTGCTAATTTTCTATAGAAAATGTTGCCCTTTTGGCAAAAGCTGCAAATTTTCTATAGAAAATGTTGCCCTTTTGGCCAAAGCTGCAAATTTTCTATAGAAACTGTTGCCCTTTTGGCCAAAGCTGCAAATTTTCTATAGAAAATGTTGCCCTTTTGGCAAAAGCTGCAAATTTTCTATAGAAAATGTTGCCCTTTTGGCCAAAGCTGCAAATTTTCTATAGAAAATGTTGCCCTTTTGGCAAAAGCTGCAAATTTTCTATAGAAAATGTTGCCCTTTTGGCAAAAGCTGCAAATTTTCTATAGAAAATGTTGCCCTTTTGGCAAAAGCTGCAAATTTTCTATAGAAAATGTTGCCCTTTTGGCAAAATCTGCAAATTTTCTATAGAAAATGTTGCCCTTTTGGCAAAAGCTGCAAATTTTCTATAGAAAATTTGTTTGCAAAATTTGCTAATTTTTTATAGAATATATTTCCCTTTTTGAAAAATATCCAAATTTTCTATAGAAGATGTTGCATTTCTTGCAAAATCAACAATTTTTCTATAGAAAATGTGGCTCATTTTACAAAATTTCTAAATTTTGATAATTTGTGTTGCCCTTTTTGCAAAAGCTACAAATTTTCTATAGAAAATGTTGCCCTTTTTGCAAAATTTTGGAAATTTTCTATAGAAAATATTGCCCTCTTTGCAAAATTTGCTAATTTTCTATAGAATATATTGCCCTTTTTGCAAAATATCCAAATTTTCTTTAGAAAATGTTGCACTTTTCGCAAAATTTGGAAATTATCTATAGAAAATGTTGCAGTTTTTGCAAAATATGCAATTTTTTATATAAATGTTAAATTATTTGCAAATGGTCTAAGAAAATCTTATAGAACTATCAGTTGAAAGCGATTTTAGTTAGAAAATGTTTAGATAGAAATTTGTTCTTTTACTAATAGTTTTCAACATAAATTTTAAATTAATAAAGTTATAAAAATAATCAATAATTTAAACTCTATATTTCTCTTTTTTTATTGTCATGTTCTCTTCCTTTCTTTATAACAAAACCATCACACTTCCTGTCTGGTCATAATGTCAATGATGGCTTTTTATGATGTTTTACTTCATGACAATGAAAATAATGACTTTTTTCCCTTTTTAAAATGATGGCCCTGATTGTCAACTACTACTACTACAACGACAACTATAACTATATGACGCTGATAATGTTGATGATGATGGTAATTTAATGTTACAATTGTACAAAAAAAAAACACACCTCCAGGATGAAAAGAGAACCGAAGAACATAATGTTGTAATTTTAGTAGAATTTGCCATTGCATTGATGTCAATTTTAGATTCAATTAATCGTGAATCATTTCAAAGATTTCGTTTACGTATTGGTCTTAATCATGGCCCTGTCATAGCTGGTGTTATTGGTGCACAAAAGCCTCAATATGATATTTGGAGTAATACAGTAAATGTAGCCTCACGCATGGATTCTTGTGGTGTTATGGGTAGATTACAGGTATGGTGTTCTTGTTAACAACAAAGTTTATGTTAATTTCCTTTTGAAAATGTATTTCTTTTTTTTACTAATTTTCCAGACTACTGAGAATACAGCACAAATTTTAATGGCCGCTGGCTATGAGTGTGAATGTCGTGGTTTGACTTATGTTAAAGGCAAAGGAAATCTAGTCACTTATTTTGTAAAGACACCATTTGATGGAAAATTATAATAATTTTTAAGCTTAAAGTTATAACAGAAAAAAAAAGAAAATAAATCATATTTATGGCCTGTTAAATACTTGTGTTTTACAAGTATTTGCTGGCTTTTAAAAGGAAGAAATCTATGAACAACGTTTAAACATAATAAAACCACAAAATATGTATGTAATATGTATGAATAATTTATATTTATATTAGCCAGAATAATGCATATTTAGATTATTATATAACGAATCGAATTAACATTTATTTCCTCCCTCCTACATTTAGCTGAACAAAAACCAAACAACAACCATTTCAATTATCCTAAGCATTTAAATTATTTAAAAAAAAAATCTAAAGAATTTTAAAAGAATATAAAATAAAATTTTAGATAAAATCTGAGAAAATATTAGCAGTTCTTAAAAGGAACTAAGTCTTATTAACACATTCATTCAACTTTTTGTAGAAATTTTACATAAAACTAAACATTTCTAAAGAAAATTTTAAAATTTTTGTATTCATTTTAAAGAAAATGCTATATTTTCCTTAAAAAGTGCAATATAGTTATAAAAAATTAACAAATTTTGTAAAAAGTGCAACATTTTGTGAATAAAAATTGCAAAAAGTGCCATAATTTCTACAAAAAATAGAGTACATCTTTTAAATTTAGACAATTTTAAAATTTTTGTAACAATTTTAATGAAAATTGCATAGAAATTGCAACGTAGTTGTAAAAAACTATAGAAAATGTTGCACTCTTTGCAAAAGCTACAAATTTTCTATAGAAAATGTTGCAAAAGCTACAAATTTTCTATATAGAAAATGTTGCACTTTTTGCAAAAGCTACAAATTTTCTATGGAAGATGTTGCAGTTTTTGCAAAAGCTACAAATTTTATATAGAAAATGTTTCACTTTTTGCCAAAGCTGCAATTTTCTATAGAAAATGTTGCACTTTTTGCAAAAGCTGAAAATTTTCTATAGAAAATGTTGCACTTTTTGCAAAAACTACAAATTTTCTATAGAAAATGTTGTACTTTATTTTAAAGTTGCAAATTTTCTATAGAAAATGTTGCACTTTTTGCAAAAGCTACAAATTTTCTATAGAAAATGTTGCACTTTTTGCAAAAGCTACAAATTTTCTATAGAAAATGTTGCACTTTTTGCAAAAGCTACAAATTTTCTATAGAAAATGTTGCACTTTTTGCAAAAGCTACAAATTTTCTATAGAAAATGTTGCACTTTTTGCAAAAGCTACAAATTTTCTATAGAAAATGTTGCACTTTTTGCAAAAGCTACAAATTTTCTATAGAAAATGTTGCACTTTTTGCAAAAGCTACAAATTTTCTATAGAAAATATTGCACTTTTTGCAAAAGCTACAAATTTTCTATAGAAAATATTGCACTTTTTGCAAAAGCTACAAATTTTCTATAGAAAATATTGCACTTTTTGCAAAAGCTACAAATTTTCTATAGAAAATATTGCACTTTTTGCAAAAGCTACAAATTTTCTATAGAAAATATTGCACTTTTTGCAAAAGCTACAAATTTTCTATAGAAAATATTGCACTTTTTGCAAAAGCTACAAATTTTCTATAGAAAATGTTGCACTTTTAGCAAAAGCTACAAATTTTCTATAGAAAATGTTGCACTTTTAGCAAAAGCTACAAATTTTCTATAGAAAATGTTGCACTTTTTGCAAAAGCTACAAATTTTCTATAGAAAATGTTGCACTTTTTGCAAAAGCTACAAATTTTCTATAGAAAATGTTGCACTTTTTGCAAAATCTACAAATTTTCTATAGAAAATGTTGCACTTTTTGCAAAAGCTACAAATTTTCTATAGAAAATGTTGCACTTTTTGCAAAAGCTACAAATTTTCTATAGAAAATGTTGCACTTTTTGCAAAAGATAAAAATTTTCTATAGAAAATGTTGCACTTTTTGCAAAAGCTACAAATTTTCTATAGAAAATGTTGCACTTTTTGCAAAAGCTACAAATTTTCTATAGAAAATGTTGCACTTTTTGCAAAAGCTACAAAGTTTCTATAAAAAATGTTGCACTTCTCGAAAAACTTGCAAATTTTCTATAGAAAATCTTACACTTTTTGCAAAAACTGCAATTTTTCCATAGAAAATGCTGCTCTTTTGGCAAAAGCTACAAATTTTCTATAAAAATATCGCACCTTTTGCAAAAGCTGCCATTTTCTCAAAATTTACAAACTTTCTGTAGCAAATGTAGAACTTTTTTTTAAAAAAGTGGCTAAATTTTTTGAAAAATGTTTAAATTCATTTTAATAACTGCTTAATATAACTTTTTCTATTTACAAAAACATAAAAAAAGTTTTCTTTTTATTATCATTAAAATTATTTGTTCATTTTGTTATTTATACTTTGTTATTGTTAAAACTTTTCATTGTTTTGTTTATATTTTAATATAATTTATTAAATATTTTTCTAACCTTAAGCCATAAATATACCAGGAAGTGGTTTTTATAGGTCCTGCTTTTTTGCTGGTTAAACAAAATTTTAAACAAATTTTTTGGTTACTGCCTTTAGCAAAAGAGATAATACCCCACCCCATAATACTAATCCCCTAAATTGTTAAAAGTGTTTTAGCTTAAGGCGTTTATTTTTTTTTTTTTTTTTTTTCTTTTAGCTAAACTAAACTGCTTTGTTATATTTTTAGGTTAAACAAAAAATGTTTAAGATTCTTTGTTTGTTTTTTATTATTGTTTCTTTTAGTAAAATCTAACCCTGTAAAAAAATATTACCTCAAAGTTTTTCTATTTCTCGCAACATGGTCATGTCTTATGAAAAAAAGGGACATGTCACGGTTAAAACCTAAAACATTTAAAATACTAACACAAATTGAAAGAAATATAAATTCTATTTTAAACTATTTTTTATACTAAATTTGTTATTAATAACTTTATTTAGGATATATTTTTTTAAAATTAATATTTATGTATGTGTTTTTTTAAATATACACAAAAAGTGAAACTAAACTACCGAAAATTATAGATTAAAAAAAAAATAAAGCGGAAGCAATTTATTTTCCCTTAAATTTATGAAAAATTTTAAAAAAATTTTGTGATTTAATTTGTTTCTGCTTCATTGAAACCTAATCTATATAATTTATTAACTAAATTATCTTTAAAAATAATAAAATTATAAACAAATTACATAAACTAAACTATATTTATTTAAGCTATTGTAAAATTATGTAAAAACAAATACAAAATAATTTAATAAAATGCAATACAATAAATATAAAATGTTAGCAAATCTAATAAAAAAAAAAACTAGTTTTATTCCTTTAGAATCTTGAAGAAAAAACTAACCTAACCCTAAGAAAATTGCAAAAAGTGCAACATTTTCTATAAAAATTAGTTAATTTTGCAAAAAGTGCAACATTTTTTTAGAAAAATAAGCTATTTTTCCAAAAAGTGCAACATTTTCTATAGAAAATTTGCTGCTTTTGCAAAATGTGCAAAATTTTCTATAGAAAATTTGCTGCTTTTGCAAAAAGTACAACATTTTCTAGGGAAAATTTGCTGCTTTTGCAAAAAGTGCAACATTTTCTATAGAAAATTTGCTGCTTTTGCAAAAAGTTCAACATTTTCTATAGAAAATTAGCTGCTTTTGCAAAAAGTGCAACATTTTCTATAGAAAATTTGCTGCTTTTACAAAAAGTGCAACATTTTCTATAGAAAATTTGCTGCTTTTGCAAAAAGTGCAACATTTTCTATGGAACATTTGCTGCTTTTGCAAAAAGTGCTACATTTTCTATCGAAAATTTTCTGCTTTTGCAAAAAGTGCAAGATTTTGTATAGAAAATTTGCTGCTTTTGCAAAAAATGCAACATTTTCTATAGAAAACTTGCTGCTTTTGCAAAAAGTGCAACATTTTCTTTGGAAAATATGCTGCTTTTGCAAAAAGTGCAACATTTTCTATAGAAAATTTGCTGCTTTTGCAAAAAGGGCAACAGTTTTTTAAATTTTGCAAAAAGGACACCAATTTTTTGAAAAATATACAGATTTTTTCAAAAAGAGCAACATTTTCTATAGAAAATTTAAAATTTTTGTAAAAAGGCATTTTTTAGACTTTGCATTTTAGCACTATTTCTGCTTTAAATTTCATTTATGTTAAATTATTATTTATTACGTGAAAATTTGTGTTGTTATGATTTATTGATTACAAAGATTAATTGCTGTTGTAAGTTGTTGTTGTTTTTAAAGAATTTGTTTTTAATACATTTATTTTGATATTTTACACAATATGTTAAAAAATTAACAACAAAATATAACACTTCACTATATAAAATGCTTATGAAGATTAATTAAAAAAAATTTTATGATTAATTAACACATTCAAATTCAATTTAATCTAAACTTTGAAGTTCTTTTGTGCTTATGGCTGGATTTTATAATTCTCACTATGACAAGATTTGAAATTTGTATAAAATTATCAAACGTATGTAAAATTTTTGTCCCTTAGTATGAATTATAAAACCGACCCTAATTTTTTTTAATTTGAGATTGCTTATTGAAATAGAAGTTTTATACACTTAAATATTGTGTTCAAACTTTTCAATACCCAAAGATTTTTACAATTATTTCTTAACTTTTAAAATATATTCACAATGAAAAAAAAGAAAAATTTGTTCTATTATCACTTGGATTTCCTGTCAAAACCAAAAGAACAAAAAAGTCACATAGAAAGTAAAAAAAAAAAATACACCTAAAGAAAACAATAAAACAGATGCTTCTTTCACTTAGTTTTAAAGTGAAATAGAAAATTGACAATTGATTTTCACCCAAAATTGAGTGAAATTATGATAAACTACACTTGTTTTAAAATATATTCGAGTTTGAATTTTAGGAATTAATATTTTTTATATTGTTTTATGATTTCATTAAATATCTTATTTTGTAATAGATCTATCCTCAATTTGTTCATAATTTGGACTTTCGAAAATTTTTGTAAAGAAAATTTATAAAAAAAAAAAAAATATTAAAAAATATTTGTTTAACCTAAAAAGAGATTTCTTGGGACTAGAAGGATGGTTACATCAGGCCAAATAGGGAGAAGACATTACTATTCTAAACTTACAACTATATTACAACTTTCTTTAGCTTTCCAAAGAAAGACAACTAAAAATCCAGTCTCTATACTTAAAATTACAAAAAAATTTACCTGGTTTTACGCCTTTAAAAATGAGGTAAACAAACTTTTCCGGCAAACAATTCCGATACCACCGTAATCCACAAAGCCAAGACAAATAATATGTACGAGATGCCTATTTTATAGGTATTGGGTAATTGATAGGCCTGACCACCTATCTCCTCAATGTGAAATCCTAGCGGGAAAACCACTGCCGCTAAGCAAAATAACACCATGGCAGTAAAGCCCACCCAGCGGGCATAAGGGATAACATTACGATCCCAGGTGCTAGAGGCCAATAGTATAACAGTAGTGGTTATACAAATGCAGCCTATAAAAATGCAGACCAGAGCAATCAACCATTCAGGTTGTAGCTCAGGAGTATAGCACACTTGAGGCCGATTGTAAAGGGTCATGCAAGTCCACATGAGGCCAAGGCGTATGTCTCCTGGAAATTAATCAAAAAAAGGAATTATATTTTCTTCAATATTAACAAATGTAGGTAAAAGAACTTACCAGCCTCCTCTGTGACTATCCAATCGGGCATGGCCAAACTGACAATGGCAAACACATCGGCGGCCATAAATAATGTGGCACTTATAGTCGTTAATTTGTCCATGTTATTTTGCAAGTCTTTTTTTGCTATATTTTTTAAATGTTTGCACAAATTTTATGTATTTTCTAAATTTTTCTTCCGATGTTAAACAAAATCACAGCAAATGTCAAATCAGTTTAATAGAAGGCTGCCACACTGTTTTTTTAACTGTAAAAAAAGAGAATGCCACTGTGTTTAATAAAAAGTGCTGCCAAGTTGTAATTGTTATAAAAAGAAGAAAAAAAGTGTTAAACTTAAAGAGATTTTTTAAATTTCATAATAATCTTTAAAATTAAACAAAATTAACTGCAAAAATTACTTTTTGAATAAAAAATTATATAAAAAATAATAAAATGTTTAAATTTCTGCATTTAATATATTTATATGTTTTTTTAAGAAATAATAGTAGTTGTGTTTTGTTGCTATCAATGAGTGTTAACGCTTAAAGTTAGCAACAAAACGAACATTACCTGACTTGGCATCACTCCACAGAAGAAATCTGCTAAATCTTGAAATTATTTACAATTTCTTGAAAAGGTTTATTTATTTGGTAATTTTCTTTGATTTAAATTTTATTTTAAAATATTTTTTTATTGTTTGACATAAACACATTAATATTTGTATTTTTATTTTTGAATTGGTAGCACTTTTATCGACGTTGAAATTAACTTGTATAATTTTACACGTTAACTCCTAACGTTTATAAATTTTAAATTTATATGAAATTGCCTTTGAACGTTAGCAACAAAACACAACTAGTGTTGAAATTGTTTAGTGATTTTGCAAGCATTTTAAACATAACATAGGTATTACAGGATTTTTTAGATTTTCAATAAATTTTTGTCAAAATTTAGTATTTTAAACTGTCTTCTATAAATAGCAATAAAAAACGTAATAATTTCTTAAATTGTATATAAAAAAATATGAACATTTTTAAATTAATTAGTACAATATTCAGTTGTGCAAATATTTCTTATGTTTCGCTGTCATTTAAAAATATACATACTCTCAAATTTTAATTCCAAAATATTAAATTTAAACTTGTTTTCTAACGTATCTATGCAAAAAAAATTTCCAAAAACACTAATTTTGTGTGAAACTTTTTTATTTTAAAACTAACCTAAAAAATTTTTAAAAATATTTTTCTTTTTTAGAGGCAATTTTAAAATTGCAATTTTGAAATTGTTTACAAAATTTTGAATTCAAACTTGATTTCTAAGGTAAATATTAAAAAAATGCGCCGAAATTACTGACTTGTAAACAAAATCTTTCAATTTAAAAATAACCTAAATTTTATGATACTTTTATGTTGAAAATATTTTCTATATTTGATGGCCATTTTGAAAAATACATACATATTATCCGATTATAAAAATTTCTTTAAAATAAGTTATTTAATTTTGTTGACTTTTTCAGATATAAAAAATATTTAAGTTTTTTTGACATTTTATAGTAAAATGTTTAATTTTTAAAAAGTACCAATTGTTTTATATTGCATATAGGTATGGTGAATATATTTATGCAGTTTGACGGCCATTTTAAAACATACTTATCAATGATTTCCGAAAATTTCTTTAAAATAAGTTATTTTAGTTTATTGACTTTTTTGCACATAAAAAATATTTTGCGATTTTTGTCTTTTCCTTTCAAAACTTTTATTTTTAAAAAAGTACCTAAACAAATTTTTACGTCGAGAAGTAGTGAATATTTTTATGGTTTGTCGGCCATTTTAAAAAATGCATATTAATGGATTTCGCAAACTTTTTCGAAATAAGTTATGTACTTCAATTTAATGGGTTTTTCAGAAATCAAAAATATTTCGCAATTTTTTGTTATAATCTTCCAAAACTATTATTTTTTAAAAAGTCGCAAAATTATATTTTCTTCAATATTAACAAAGTAAAAGAACTTACCAGGCTCCTGCAGCTATCTAATCGGCCATTACCAAACTGACAATGGCAAACACATATCGGCAGCCTTAAATAAGGTGGCAATTATAGTGGTTAATTTGTCCATATTATTTTGCAAGTCTTTTTTTTAAATTTTTGCACTAATTTTATGTATTTTCTGCAAATTTTAAAATTTTTCTTTCCGATGTTAAACAAATCACGACAAATGTCAAATTAATTTAACAGAAGCCTGCCGCTGGCAAGCTGCCACACTGTTTTTTAGCTGTAAGAAAGAGAATGCCACTGTGTTTAATAAAATGTGCTGCCAAGTTGTAATTGAGAGATTTTTTAAATGTTAAGTTAATTGCTTTAAATTTAAACAAAATTAACTGCAAAAATTACTTTTTGAATAAAAAATTATGTAAAAAATAATAAAATGTTTAAATTTCAGCAAAATTTAATATATTTATATGTTTTTTAAGACTTTGTATGGCTTAATAGTGTTGAAAGTGATTTGAAAGCATTTCCAACATAAACATATAACAGGATTTTTGTAAATTTTCAATAAATTTTGTCAAAAATTTAGTATTTCAAACTGCTTTTTATGAATAGCAATGAAAAACATTTATTAAAACAGATTTTTATTTAAATTTATTATATTTTTGTTGTATTTTATAAATGATATTCCAATAAAACATGATTTTATTCAATAAACTAAGGCCAACGTTACAATAAACTTAAATTATTACAAAAAGAAAGTTGTATTTAAGTTAAACTATGGTAAATATATAAAATTATATAAATGTATATATAAAAAAAAGAGCATATATTAATAAACAAAAAGAGAGGGGAGAGTTTTATTACTAGTTGAACAGTGGGGGAAACTTATTTATAAGTGTACAATTTTAACAGTGTTTATTTGTTGTTTGGATTTGCTTAATAAATTTAAGTAAAATGATTAGTTTTATTTCATTTAAAGTTTTTTTTTTTCTTATTTGGACTTACAGGCTAGACAAAAAATTGTGTTTTCTTTATAATAGTAAAAATACAAGTTAAGAAGACTTGAAATTTCGTTATTTAATATTAAATATTCAAAAAATATATGTATAAACTTTATATGCAATAGTTATTTGCATGCAATTTAAGCCGAACCATTTACTGGAGCAGGAGTAGCTTCAGAATCTGAGGCTGAAGCACTACCATTTAATAACAAAGTTTTACCATTAGGGGTTAAGTTAGCATTACCATTCAATTTTAAATGTTTAAGCGCATCGGATACCAACATATCCTCTTCATCGGAGGATACATCGGACATTTGGCGAGGCGATAGACGACAGCCTCTGGCTATATAATTGGGTAGGCGACCCACGGAGGCTAAAATTAAACCCAGGAATGGTGGTGAGGGTTTGAGAGGACGGGACAAATACTCAGGATGGTATTGGGTGCCCACATAGTAGGGATGATCTCTTAATTCTATAACTTCCATACGTGTTTTAGTATCATCACAACCCACAAAACGCATGCCATGCTCTTCCAGTTGTGGCACATATTTGGGATTGACCTCATAACGATGTCTGTGACGTTCATCTACAGTTTTGGGATTACCATATAATTGTCTTATGATACTAGGTTCATCCGCAAAGATGGTGGTGCGTTTACCCAAACGCATAGTGCCACCCATTTGTCCGGTATGATGTTCAGGCATATCAATGACCAAAGCATTCGATGTTTTGGGATCTATCTCTGTGGTATGAGCATCTTTAAGACCCAAAACATTACGGGCAAATTCTATAACAGCAGCCTGCAAACCCAAGCAAATACCCAAGAAAGGTTTGCGATTCTCGCGACACCATTGGCAAGCCTTAATCTTGCCCTCAATGCCTCTAGAACCAAAACCGCCTGGCACTAAAACACCATCACTTTCACACAACATTTGCCATTCTCTGTGGTATTTGGAAGGAGCCTCTTGTAGGGTTTCTTTTTCCAATAAAGTAGAATCAATGAAATTTATATTAAGATTATAACCAGCCGCCAGGGCAGCATGTTGCAAAGCCTTCATCACAGATGCATAGGAATCCTTGAATTTGGTGTATTTACCCACCAAAGCAATGGTCACATTCTTGCGTAATGTCTCCGAACGTCTAGCCAAATCTTTCCATTGTTGTAAGCATCTTAAGGAAGAAAAAGAAATTTAGTAAATTATTCAAAATATTTTCTTCAAAAATACTCACTTTTCCCTTTTGCTGGGCAAAATATTCAATTGCAAACGTTCATTCAAAAACTCTATAACTCCTGTCTGTTCCATTAACAAGGGTACATGATAAATCGAACTCAAATCATGTATACAAATCACCTGATCTGGGGCCACATGACAGAAATTACTGATTTTCTCTTTAACCTCTAAACCAATGGGTTTTTCCGAACGACAAACTATTAAATCGGGACTTAAACCAAAACCTCTTAATTCACGCACAGAACTTTGTGTGGGTTTAGTTTTGGGCTCTCCCGTCGAGGAGGGTGAGGGTACCAATGAAACATGAGCCACACAGAAATTTTCACGTTTAACACGAAATTGAAATTGACGGAAAGCTTCAACGAAAGGCATACCCTCAATATCACCAATGGTGCCACCCAGTTCGACAATACACACCTGGGGTTTGGAATTACCACGTACGGGCGTCTGGGCCACACGTTCTACCCATTCTTGGATAGCATCCGTTATGTGGGGAACCACTATATTAGAAAAATTAACGAAATTTTGTATAATTTTCTAAGGAATTCTTTAAACTTCTTCCTTACCTTGCACAGTTTTACCCAAATATTCTCCTTTACGTTCTTTTTCTATAACCAATTGATAGATTTTACCCGTGGTAATGTTATTATCACGATGAAGAGTAACATCCAAAAAACGTTCATAGTTGCCCAAATCCAAATCGACTTCACCGCCATCATCTAACACATAGACTTCACCTGGAATCACAAAAGAATAGGACATTAATTAGAGATTAAAACAAAAGAATTACTAAAAGTAAAACTCAGTTACAACAAAAACTGAAATGAAACTAAGCTAGGGATGAACTGGAACTAAACTAGAACTGATCTAAGAGTAAACTAGAACTGAACTACAACTGAACTAGAACTGAACAAGAACTGAACTAGAACTGAACTAGAACTGAACTAGAACTGAACTAGAACTGAACTAGAACTAAACTAGAACTGAACTAGAACTGAACTAGAACTGAACTAGAACTGAACTAGAACTGAACTAAAACTGAACTAGAACTGAACTAGAACTGAATTAGAACTGAACTAGAACTGAACTAAAACTGAACTAGAACTGAACTAGAACTGAACTAGAACTGAACTAGAACTGAACTAAAACTGAACTAGAACTGAACTAGAACTAGAACTGAACTAGAACTGAACTAGAACTGAACTAAAACTGAACTAGAACTGAACTAGAACTGAACTAGAACTGAACTAGAACTAGAACTGAACTAGAACTGAACTAGAACTGAACTAAAACTGAACTAGAACTGAACTAGAACTGAATTAGAACTGAACTAAAACTGAACTAGAACTGAACTAGAACTGAACTAGAACTGAACTAGAACTGAACTAGAACTGAACTAAAACTGAATTAGAACTGAACTAAAACTGAACTAGAACTGAACTAGAACTGAACTAGAACTAGAACTGAACTAGAACTGAACTAGAACTGAACTAGAAATGAACTAGAACTGAACTAAAACTGAACTAGAACTGAACTAGAACTGAACTAGAACTGAACTAAAACTGAACTAGAACTGAACTAGAACTGAATTAGAACTGAACTAAAACTGAACTAGAACTGAACTAGAACTGAACTAGAACTGAACTAGAAATGAACTAGAACTGAAGTAGAACTGAATTAGAACTGAACTAAAACTGAACTTAAATTGGACTAGAACTGAACTAAAATTGGACTGGAACTGAACTAGAACTGAACTACAACTGAACTAGAACTACACTAGAACTAAACTAGAACTGAAATAGAACTAAACTAGAACTAAAATAGAAGTGAACTAGAACTAAACTAGAACTGAAATAGAAGTGAACTAGAACTGATCTGGAACTGAACTGGAATTACAATAGAACTGAACTAAACTAGAACTTTAGTAGAACTAAACTGATTTATAACTGAACTTAATTATTTAGAACTGAACTAGTATTGATCTAAAACTGAACTAGAACTGAACTGGAACTGAACTTTGTTTAAAAATTTAGAAACTTTTCAAAAAAAAAAATAAAACTCTTTTTCACAAATTTTTACAACATAAATCCATCAATAAATTCTTGTTTTTTTTTATTTTTTTATTTTTTTTTTTTTTTCAAAAAACATTTTACAATATTTAAATACAGACTTAAAATTACACAATTATACAATAATTGAAACTTAAAAAAACATACATTTAAATTAAAAAGCAATTAGAAAAAAAGTAAATTAAATAAATGCAGAGGATTTTTTACTAAAACAAATCCTTTTATTAAATATTTACAAAACTTAAAAAAAAAGAGAAAAAGATTTTCAAAATCTTTTAAGAAATGAATTTTTTTTTCTTCATTTTTATATAAATACTGTAAGAATGTTAAAACTAGATATTAAATAATGACTTTGGTGTTTATTTGGACTCTTCCAAATCCTCCTTGTAGAGTTCTTTAAATATTAGTTTTTGTATTTTCGTGCGTATGCGCAACTTTTGAGCGGCCGTCAGCTGTTTCATATAGGGATGCAGGGAGAGCAAATAATGATAATCATCATCTTCGGGTACAAGAGGCGTAGGTGTTGAGGTATCCATGGTAGAGGAACCATTAAAATTACTATCTTCCGATAGACGCGGTCTTTTTAGTTTAAGAGCTGGAATGAGGCCATTAGTATAGGAGTGTTTGGTAAAATTTAAATGTTCATGAGAACCGTGTAAACAATTGCTGGCATTGAGTGGGAAATCATCAGAACGTTCTTTACTCATGACCCCATTGGAAGAGGGTTGGGGATGATGTGCCTTATTGTAGAGTGGCGGAGGTGAAACAGAACGTATTTTTTGTTGTTGGGCAGCGGCAGCAGCTGCCGCAGCTAGACAAGTATTTGGTAAAACCATTGCACTGGGCAAGACTGATTGGGAAAGATTATTGATTACCGGAGGGTTGGCTGTTATTAAGGAATTATGTGAAACACCATTCATGGAGGCTAAAGTAGCCGCTACCGCTAAGGCTGTGGTATGAGCTATAGGTGGTGAAGTTTGAAAAACATTGAGTGTTGATAAACAAGAAGAAGAATTGGAGGATGTAGTACTAGAAACTGAAGAAGCTGAAGAGGATAAAGAGGCTGCTCCCGTTACCAACGATGTAGTATTTGGCACGGTGGGTGCTGTTGTAACCAAACATAAACCTGTACCGGTGGTCGTGGAGGAAATAGTGGTGGCCTGTTGCAATTGTAAAGCTGTCGAGCTATTTGTCTCCTGTAGTTGATCTCTATTGTCTAGAGATTTCTTAGAGAGATCTTGCACCTCTTTATCTATATTCTTGAGTAAATTACGTGCATCTTCGGTTTTTATTATGGCACCCGGTAAAGTACCCATAGTGGTTAAGGGCTGTGAATGAGCTGCAGGTGGTGTGGTTTCAGTTACATCATCTTCATCTTCTTCGACATCATCTTCATCGAATTCTTCATCACTGTCCTGTATGCGTCGTATTAAACCATTAGTGAGATCTGGTTCTACAACGGTTTTTTCACAATCTTGACTTTGTTGGGCAAAATAGAAAGCCTGATCCTGTTCGTTTTTGGGCACCCGATGACGCATATGTTCGGCTAAAGTTTAAAAACAAAAAATAACCACATTTAGGAATAAGTTTATCTCTTTTCCTCCCCATTACTTACTTAAAAACAACAAAGCATAATAATGTATCCATTTCGATTCAAAGGTGGCCGGTTCTACCAGAAACTCTCCTGAATCTGATCTTGGTATACGTTTGTATTCGACACGAAAGTTATCCCTTAAACCCTTCCATTTGGCTTTGAGTACCACTTCTATAAGGAAGGAAATAGCACATTTTTAGGAATTTTGTTTAGAAATTTCCTCAAAAAAATCCTACTTACTGGGCAATTTGTGCTCCGCCGACAGTTCATCCCACATTTGTTCTAGAAATGCTTTATTACAATGAAAATTACGATTCCAAATGGCTGGTCTTTGCTCCACATCTCTTATAAATTGTTCAACATTTAAAACAATGGTGGATTTTTTGGGTGCCATATTTGATTTTTCAAAAAAACGTGTAGATTTTGAACCGTTACTCTTTAATTGTGATATTTTTGAAACAAGTTTTTAAGCATTTGTTTAGTTTTTTTATTAAATTAATTTTTTTCCATTGAATTTATTAGATTTTTTCTTTATTTTATTAAAATATTGTTTATTTTAAATGTTTTATTCATAATTTATTTGTTTATTTTAAAAATTGTATTAATTTTTAAAAAATTTACTTTATTTTTCAATTTTATTTGAAAATTTTTTTTAATTTATTATTTTGTAAACATCTCTGTTTTTATTTCAATGTTTCTCTTTCTTCTTTTGCTGTTTAATTTGAAATTTAACGGTATTTTCTTTAATAGAAAGTAATTGTCACTATTTGCTCACAGTTTTCCTTTTATTATTTTATTTTCCGTTATTTATTATTAATTAACATATTTTACTCTTAAATTGATAATATTTATTAGTTAAAAACACAAATTTCTTTAATTTAATTGTTTTTTAAAACAAAACAACAAGAATTAATTACAGAGAACCAAGCCGATTCAAAATCAACGGCGTTAGCTGGCAAAATTTGGACGGCGTTAGTGAGCTAACAGCCAACGCGGTTTCTTACTCTGTTAATTATCTCTCGCTCTCTTGTTTTGTTTACATTTTATGCTAGGGGACTAAATATTTTGCATTTGTGTGTAAATATGTGTGGTTTGTTTACATTTTTGTTGACTAGCTCTCTCTCTTGTTTTTGTTTTCATATTTTTGTCACAGGTTTTCATTTGTGTCTAATAACGTGTGTGCGCGTTTTGTTTACATTATTTATTGTGTTGTTAGTTTCTTAAAGCCAAATAGTGTTGCCAATTTTTTTAATATCACTAAAAGTGTCTGATAAATAGCTAAATTATCATCAATTGTAATTTAGACTTTATTCTTAATCCTTCAACGATATTTTGTAGAATTTATAAGAACTTTTAAGTAAATAGTTCCTCATTTCTAGTTTTTTGGTAAAAAAAAAGGTTTAGTTCAATTTCTTAACATGTATGTATTTTTTTTACAAATTTTTAATTTGAACTAAAACTTCGTTAAAAATACTTTTCAACTATTATATAAAGCGTCTTAAAATAAAACAAAATTTCCAAAATGATGTGAATGAAGCCTGTAAAACACTAACAAAGAGGATAATAATGAATTTGAAATGTTGATAATAATGATGTTCATTCATCTTCACAGATGATTTGAACATAATAATGAAATTGTAAACTGAAAATATTTTGTATGCTAACAGGCGTTTCGGGCTGTTTTGTACGTTGTCGGCATGGAAATCAATAAGACATTCACATTGTTTGTAGTTGTTGTTAAGTTTCAGACTCAAGAGTGAAAGAAAAGAAGAGAAAATGTACTAAAGAAAACAGTAAAATCTTTATAACAATGAATGAACACATTGTTGCTAGGTAGTTAATAGAAATTTAAAAAGTAATGTTAAAAATCTTAAATGTTGAAATGGCTCCGTCATATTCCAAAATAATGCTAATAATTCCAATGATTTATAACGTCTAATAAGCTTTAAGCAGATATAGTATTCGCCCTGAACTAACTGAACTAACCGAACAACAACAACAACATTTAATATTAGCAACAATGTTTAAACAGCTACAAAAATATTAAAGCACAAACTGGGAAAAAAACTCATAACAAAACAATAACAAACCTCATCAACATTATTATTGTTATAAACATCATTACTCTACCCAACAAAAACAACATCTTCATCATCATCAACGGCATTGTTATTATTGTACACAGTTTAGCTAGAACAGAGACAAAACAAATACAAAGAAAAAGAAAAAGCAATAAAGGGATGGGGGGGAGGGGGTGTTCTTTTCCATTTCACTGTTGGAGCTCTATTATTATAGCTGTTACTGTTGTTGTTATTGTTGTTGTCATTACTGTTGATTGGACTTCAGCCAAAGCTGTTAAAAGTGTATGTGTATGTAGAAATGTAAACAAATGTGAAGAAACAATAGGGAGAAAAAAATAAAATTTGAAAAATCGATTGGAGTAAATTAAAGTTTGGACCAATGACAAGACCGTAATACATATAGACTAGACTATAGATTAGGCTATATACTAAACTAAACACTAGTCTATGGTCTAGTTTATATTCTAGTCTACAGTATAGTTTATACATATTCTAGTCTACAGTCTAGTATATAGTCTAGTCTATAGTCTAGTTTATAGTCTAGTCTAGTATATAGTCTAGGCTATAGTCTAGTCTATTGTCTAGTCTATAGTCTAGTCTATAGTCTAGTCTATAGTCTAGTCTATAGTCTAGTCTATAGTCTAGTCTATAGTCTAGTCTATAGTCTAGTCTATAGTCTAGTCTATAGTCTAGTCTATAGTCTAGTCTATAGTCTAGTCTATAGTCTAGTCTATAGTCTAGTCTATAGTCTAGTCTAGTCTAGTCTAGTCTAGACTATAGATTAGGCTATATTCTAAACTAAACACTAGTCTACGGTCTAGATTATATTCTAGTCCACAGTCTAGTCTATAGTCTAGTCTATAGTCTAGTCTATAGTCTAGTCTATAGTCTAGTCTATAGTCTAGTCTATAGTCTAGTCTATAGTCTAGTCTATAGTCTAGTCTATAGTCTAGTCTATAGTCTAGTCTATAGTCTAGTCTATAGTCTAGTCTATAGTCTAGTCTATAGTCTAGTCTATAGTCTAGTCTATAGTCTAGTCTATAGACTAGTCTATAGTCTAGTCTATAGTCTAGTCTATAGTCTAGTCTATAGTCTAGTCCATAGTCTAGTCTATAGTCTAGTCCATAGTCTAGTCTATACTATAGACTCTATAGTGTAGTCTAGTCTAGTCTACAGTATAGTTTATACATATTCTAGTCTACAGTCTAGTATATAGTCTAGTCTATAGTCTAGTTTATAGTCTAGTCTCTAGTCTAGTATATAGTCTAGGCTATAGTCTAGTCTATTGTCTAGTCTATAGTCTAGTCTATAGTCTAGTCTATAGTCTAGTCTATAGTCTAGTCTATAGTCTAGTCTATAGTCTAGTCTATAGTCTAGTCTATAGACTAGACTATAGATTAGTCTATAGTCTAGTCTATAGTCTAGTCTATAGTCTAGTCTATAGTCTAGTCTATAGTCTAGTCTATAGTCTAGTCTATAGTCTAGTCTATAGTCTAGTCTATAGTCTAGTCTATAGTCTAGTCTATAGTCTAGTCTATAGTCTAGTCTATAGTCTAGTCTATAGTCTAGTCTATAGTCTAGTCCATAGTCTAGTCTATAGTCTAGTCCATAGTCTAGTCTATACTATAGACTCTATAGTGTAGTCTAGTCTAGTCTACAGTATAGTTTATACATATTCTAGTCTACAGTCTAGTATATAGTCTAGTCTATAGTCTAGTTTATAGTCTAGTCTCTAGTCTAGTATATAGTCTAGGCTATAGTCTAGTCTATTGTCTAGTCTATAGTCTAGTCTATAGTCTAGTCTATAGACTAGTCTATAGTCTAGTCTATAGTCTAGTCTATAGTCTAGTCTATAGTCTAGTCTATAGTCTAGTCTATAGTCTAGTCTATAGTCTAGTCTAAACTAAACACTAGTCTACGGTCTAGATTATATTCTAGTCCACAGTCTAGTCTATAGTCTAGTCTATAGTCTAGTCTATAGTCTAGTCTATAGTCTAGTCTATAGTCTAGTCTATAGTCTAGTCTATAGTCTAGTCTATAGTCTAGTCTATAGTCTAGTCTATAGTCTAGTCTATAGTCTAGTCTATAGTCTAGTCTATAGTCTAGTCTATAGTCTAGTCTATAGTCTAGTCTATAGTCTAGTCTATAGTCTAGTCTATAGTCTAGTCTATACTATAGACTCTATAGTGTAGTATCTTAGTCCTTTCTGCCTTTCAAACAAATCACAAAACATTCCATAAGCAAAGGAAACCAATAACAACAACAAAAGCTAACAAATCCCAACGCACTCATTCCTAACAACAAAACAAATGAAAACATTAAAGGAAAAATACACACACACAACTAGAAATAAAAAAACTACAACAAAGAGAAAAACTACAATAATAAACTTACGAGTACACACAACAACATCATTATTAACAACAACATTATTTCGTTTCTAATTTTGCTTTAAAAAGCCAAAGACATCACCAGTCCAGCATCATTATCACCATCAACATCTCACATACATATGTACATATAACGTTAATATTCTTTTGTATAAGTTATCATCTCGTCATCATCATTCAATCTCCACTATATACATATCTCTGTACACCCCCCTTTCATCACATCAACCATTACTAACAACAACTGCAAACATTAAGCAGAGTAAAAAGAAACAAGCATGACATGTGTTGTTACAGCTTAAGCTTTAAAAGAACCCGAAAGCAATAACAAATGTTGAAAAGAAAACACAATAGCAAAAAAACAAGAAAAACACAAGAGTAAAGTGAAAAGAAACGGGGGAGCAAAGAACTAAAAAAGGAAAAAAATGGGAATAAATAAAATACTTTAAGCAACATTGTATAAAAGCGTACAGTGTAACAAAAAAGTTTATAAACAAATAGAACTGTGCAAAAATATGCATAAAGTTGCAAATTTTTTGTAGGAAATCTTGCCCTTTTTGCATAAACTGTAAAATTCTAAATTATTATACGGTCTAGATTATATTCTAGTCCACAGTCTAGTCTATAGTCTAGTCTATAGTCTAGTCTATAGTCTAGTCTATAGTCTAGTCTATAGTCTAGTCTATAGTCTAGTCTATAGTCTAGTCTATAGTCTAGTCTATAGTCTAGTCTATAGTCTAGTCTATAGTCTAGTCTATAGTCTAGTCTATAGTCTAGTCTATAGTCTAGTCTATAGTCTAGTCTATAGTCTAGTCTATAGTCTAGTCTATAGTCTAGTCTATAGTCTAGTCTATAGACTAGTCTATAGTCTAGTCTATAGTCTAGTCTATAGTCTAGTCTATAGTCTAGTCCATAGTCTAGTCTATAGTCTAGTCCATAGTCTAGTCTATACTATAGACTCTATAGTGTAGTCTAGTCTAGTCTACAGTATAGTTTATACATATTCTAGTCTACAGTCTAGTATATAGTCTAGTCTATAGTCTAGTTTATAGTCTAGTCTCTAGTCTAGTATATAGTCTAGGCTATAGTCTAGTCTATTGTCTAGTCTATAGTCTAGTCTATAGTCTAGTCTATAGTCTAGTCTATAGTCTAGTCTATAGTCTAGTCTATAGTCTAGTCTATAGTCTAGTCTATAGTCTAGTCTATAGTCTAGACTATAGATTAGGCTATATTCTAAACTAAACACTAGTCTACGGTCTAGATTATATTCTAGTCCACAGTCTAGTCTATAGTCTAGTCTATAGTCTAGTCTATAGTCTAGTCTAGTCTAGTCTATAGTCTAGTCTATAGTCTAGTCTATA